CTCGCCTTTACCGCCCCCATGCTTCGGCGTTGCTCTAATTACGAGTTCTACAACATCTCCGAGGTCAAATCACCAAACAACAACACGTCGAATGATCAGCCGGTGGCTCCGGCGTTTCTCACATTGAAGAGAGCGCAGAGGACCTTCCTCAAGTACTTGTCACTTATAACGACTCCGGAGCTTCCGCACGAGTCGGTCGGAGCATCCATTCCACCGTTAGAGCCCGGTTATCCGCTTTCGGACGTTGCGACCGAGCTCCGTAGATATACTTGTGCAGTTCAAGTATCTGTGGATGACATATTGGCTGAAGATGCCGATATCCAAAGCCTTGAGGTTGGAGCAGACGCCTTTGAAATCATCCTTGATCTGAGTCAACAACGCCCTATGACCAATCTCATGGATGACGTTAGCGCTTGTGTATCCAAAGTTCGAAGAAGCACCGTAGTTCCCGTCATATATCATGTGCTACCTACTTCGACCTCTGACGGTAGCAGGACTATCTACCTGGAACACGTACACCATGGGTTACGATTGGTACCTGAGTACGCATCTATCGACCTGTCGCTAGATGCTGCTGCACTTGCCGATGTGATAAACAGTCGTGGTACCACCAAGATCATCGGACATCTGCATGCCGACAAACCATGGGATGATCATTTCTGGGTAACACAGTACGAAAAGGCAGTGCATTTAGGTTGCTCTGTCGTACGACTCACTCGCCCAGCATCTTCCATCGACGACGATGTTTCGGTTCGCAGCTTCAGTAGTCGGATGGAAACGCACGAGGCACAAGTGCCAGTGATTTGCTACAACACAGGGCGAGCTGGTCGCCGCTCGACATGTTTCAACAAATATCTCACGCCTGTTGTTGCTGCCTCGAAAAGAGAGAAGACCAACCAGATGGCGTCAACAGCACAATATCCTTACGACTCCTGGCTCACTGCCAGAGAAGTAACACAAGCCCTTTACAGCTCATTTACATTTGATCCAATGCAAATGTACATCATTGGCGTACGCCTAGGATACAGCGTTTCACCAGCGATGCATAATGTAGCGTACGGCGCGTGCGGCATGCCTCACACTTTCAGTCGCATCGAGAGCCCATCTGTGAACAAACTCCAAGAGCTAGTACGCAAACCAAACTTTGGTGGCTCTATTGTTATACAGCCCTTCAAGATGGAGGTGATGGCGTTGGTAGATTCGCTGAGCCAACACGCGCGAGCGATTGGGGCTGTTAATACTGTGATACCCGTACGTCGAAGAAACGAAGACGGAAGCATTCCCAATGACCTCGAACTCTTCCATGAGCGCAACCAGTCTGGTCCGGTTCAAGCTCTGTATGGAGACAACACGGAGTGGATCGGAATTCGGTCTTGCGTGCGGCGAGGTCTTTCTCCGGCTAATGCAGTGCGTCCGTCGACATGCGGACTAATTATCGGAGCTGGCGGTATGGCGAGGGCAGCTGTCTATGCGCTGTTGCAACTGGGGGTGATGAACATTGTGATCTTCAACAGGACGTACGAAAGAGCCGAGAGTCTTGTCGCGCATTTCTCCCGCCTTACCTCGAGTTCGGCAGATAATACTACGGCGTCAGCCATGATGCGCCAGAAGCGGCCAAATCTGACGATATTGAGATCGCGCGACGAGGCATGGCCAGAGCACCTCCGGGATCCTACCATAATCGTTTCGTGTATCCCCACTGATCCGATAGATGGAGGTCCTGCAGCTCAATTTACGCTTCCACGGCAGTGGATTCAGAGCCCTACAGGTGGTGTGGTGATGGAAACCGCGTACAAGACACTAAACACGCCCTTGTCGCAGCAAGTACAGGACTGCCCGAAGAAGCTGTGGACATATATGGATGGCCTGGACTTTATCCCGGAACAAGCCTTTGCCCAATTCGAGCTGTTCACAGGCAAAAGAGCGCCGCGAAGGGTCATGCGCGAGGAAGTACTGCGGGCATGGAGGGATGAACAGGGCAATACTGATATAGAAATGGTAAGGAGGAGGCTCAAAGCCATCGACGACCAAGAGCCATGAGGCTTGCATGATGATACGAAATTTAATGTTGAATGACTTTTGTTATGACGATGCGGTAGCAGGGCATGTCAGTGTGAAGGTTGCATGTGAGGCTTGCGATAGACGATTCGGAGCGAGGATCCCTGCGGCGATCTCTCGTGGCGCACGTTCCCAGTGAAAGTCACGACGCGTCGGATGACAACAACTGCACAAGCTAATGCGCCAACCTCTGCGACCACGTCAGAACATAGAACAGCCCCGCATATATTCCGACTCGACGCCGAACAGACTACTATGCTCTATCACGACGGCAGCGAGGCACGGAAATGACAACGCGCCAGCCCCTCCAAGCACTTCCCCCGCCGTCGGCCAACGTCGTCAACACACGCTATGCCCACCTCCAACGGCCCGTCACCACCAGAAGCGCCAATGGAGCCGCAGCCATGGAGGCGCAGGGATACGGCCAGGAAGACACGCAGGACGCCGCTTCCGTCGGCTCTGCGCTGAGCGAGCTCGAAGACGATGCCGAGGACGAATTCGAGAAGCGCATGATCCAGAATGCACGCGACGAGCGGCGGCTGAACCAGGCGCTGGGGGGCAGACCTCAGGCTTTCAAGAAGGCGCGGACCCATCCCCGTGTCGGACTGACGCTGGACAACCTGGAAAGGAACAGCGCGGCAGCTGCTGGAGCGGATGCGCAGGTCAAATTCCAGAGTCCGCCGAGCAGCAGCGGGAGCACGAGGAGCGATCCGGCTCTACGTGCGCCAGCGACATGGGGGAGGAAAGGCCGGACCAACAGGAGCTGGATGCGGACCATCACTTATGAAGAGGAACAAGGGCAGCAGCAACCACAGACGCCAGTCCCGGCCGACGACAGCATCCACGATCACTTTGACCAGCAAGACGCCAGCCTGCCACACCGCTCCGTGCCAGACAGCCCCCTCTCGCACAAGGGCACCCCACGCAACGACGAGTCGCAAGAGTGGGACCTCACCTTCGAGCTCAACGAAGCCTCCATGATCGCATCCACGCCCTACATACCACGAAACACGGTGCTGGACGATATACGGCAGAGGGAGGCCGAGAGCGTCAGGGAGCAGGCGACGCAGCCCTCTCAACCCTCTCAGTCGCCCAAGAGGAGACTGCGTGCGCGAACCCACTCGTGGCAGTCCATTGGCAAGGCGCAGCCGGTTACGGGCATCGGCAACCAAGACTCGCCCGTGGCTATGTACAGGAGCGTTGAGAGCATAGCTACAGTAGATCGCGACGTAGTTGCCACGCCTCAGGTTGTCCCCCCGAGACGCATACCGAGCCGAAGAGAAGATTCGCAGGATTTACTGCGACGGCTAGCGAGAGTATCCAACACTCCAAGCCCGAGACAGGCAGCACCTTCGAGACCAGAATCGGCGCCTCCAGCACAACTGAACACTTCCTCGCAGACGGTGGCGACAGACACGGCGCAATCAGAGGCTCAATCGGCTTCTGTGGAAAAGGTGCCTGTTCCTGCCCAGACGCCCAATGAGGCAGCTGCGCCCTCGACCGTTCAGCAGGAGCAAGACAAACCAAAGGAAGCTGAACGGTCGTCAGAGCCAGCGCCAGCACCAGAGGCTACAGGAGATGATGCCCGTAGTGTAGATGCTACACCCATGCCCAAAGAGCGACCTGTCTTGAATCCCAAGACACCAGTGGTGACTGGTGCTTGGGTCGATACACCAGGCCCACGTACTGTACAGAGACCTGGCGTGACGTCGAGGTCACGCTCACGTTCGCCTAGAAAAGCCAGTCCGCCCAGGCAGAGACCATCTGAAAAAGGCCCGGCCCCCGTTGCGGAGGAGCCATCTGAAGCCGCCGCTATAGAGCCCCTTCGTCCACACCTTCCCAAGTCTGCCTTACAATCCCTTGTCGACGAAGCGAAATCCAAGGTCAGGCGACCGTCGGTGGACTATGGCGACTCAACTATCAACTCTCTGGAAGACCTCATCACTCCATCTGCCGAAAGCCCAATGGAAGAAGATACGCTTCAAGGCCTTCAACTACCAACTGAGACTCCCCGCAATGAAGCAGAACGACAGCGACAACAGGAATTGTTACATCTCCACCGCATGAACGACCGCCTCCGTGCAGCGCGAACCAGCATCCGCGATGCAAGTCGTGGCATGAAACGCGTCGAAGACCAAGTAGAGCATGTGGAAGAAGGGGAGAATGGCGAGAAGGTCAAAGTGATTAGCCGCACATGCCCTTGCGCGATTGATGGCCATATTCAGACTTTCTCAATGTGGAAATGGTCCAAGGGTCTGTTTTGGGAACAACGATTGAAGATCCTGCGACAAGCGTCAGGCAGTCCTTGGAGAATATGGGGCGGGCTTACAGGCTTGAGCATTTGCTTGATACTTCTTTTCACTTGGTGGATGAGTGAAGAGATCGCTTGGTATGTACCTGGGCGTCTGCCCCTCTTGCGTCAAAGAAAACTTACTGACCTACTCCACAGTGAAATGTACTGCCAGCCCATGTACGCTTACTCGTCGCCTTACCCATTCAGCGTCAACGTAAATGCTCCCAAATACCCCTTTGTTATTCCAACCCTTATCTACCGGACCTTCATCCAAAGTTGGTGGGTTCCAATATCTTCCTTCTTCTCATGGATTGGCGCTACAATGTGGGCATGTTTCTTTGGTTTCGAAGAAGCGCATCTTGTCAACCACAGCGCCAGCCAGACCATAACAAGTACAAATACTATAAAAGAAAACCGCTGGATTAGTGAAGAAGCGGCCAAACTTTTAGAAGAGAAGGGCTGGGATCATAGCATGTTTGAAGATGAAATTTTGCCAGGAGGCCGATGAGCATAGAGAAGCGTCCGGCCGTTGTTGTCATTCATTATTTTCTTTTGTGGCATTGGTTCAGCGAGGCGTTTTGTTTGTCAAGGGTCTGGATCGGGAACAGGAGTTGCATACGCCATGATTGTATCACTATGGTAGCGTGTTGGATATCAAGGCGAGCGACAAGGATCTGGTTGGCTTATCCACAGGTCATTGATTGACTGCCGAAGAAATGAAATTATAACATATCCCACCCTTGGTTTCAACATGATCTAGCGAAAATGAAAAGAAACTTTATGAACACCATCACCCGAAGAGTCTCCTTACGATTCTGCGCTGGTCTTCCCTGTCTCCTTGGGAAATCCCGTTTCCCACGCCTCGGCTTTCGGTCGCTAACTGGTTGTTCTGTTGTAGCCTCCCGTGCAGCTCTTGGGCCTCTTCTTGTTCTTCCTTCAACTCTCGCTGCAGCTTTTCTTCGCGTGCCTTCGCCTCAGCCATGAGGACCGAGCCCGCGCTTGTATCTTCGGGTGCGCGTTCGCGGTCTTTGAGTTCCAGCTCTAACAACAAAGGGGGAGCACGATGCTTACTCAATAGCGACGTGATGATCGCTCTACTTGAGCAGTCTACCCCAATATATCGCCCGTAGTCAGAGCCTTTATCCAGCATGTCCTTCCAAACGACGGGATCGTCCCCTTGTCTGAATTCCTTCTGTCGTCGTTCGGCTTCGATCGTTGGTGAACCGTGTGGCAACGTGTCCCACATCGTTGATACAATCGCTAGGTGAGAGTAGAAATGCTCACCACATATAGGTTGCAGCAGGTGGAGGCTCAGTCGCAACGTTCCGGTCAGACGACGTTCCTGTATATGGTGAAGGTAGACTACACCTGCAATGTGGTGCTGATTCTGACGAAGAAACTCCACGATTTCAGAAAGGATCTCTAATCCTAGTCTGATCGTATCGTCAAAACCTGGTGTGTCAACAAGATCAACCGAATGGTTTTGACTTACATCCCATTTCCATGCACGACAAATCTTGGTTTCTGGATGGGGTCAAAGGTATAACTAAAGATTAGGTATGAGATTTTACCAGACGTTACATCGTGCCCAATGACTACAGGTGAGCCTGTGACTGTGGCAATGAACGAGGACTTTCCAGCTCCTGTCGGTCCCAGTACTAGGATGCCAGTCTTCTCTCTAGAAAGAAGGGTTAGTTCTCTACAGGCCTCGAATCAATCATGTTTGCAGACCAGGAATTCTTACCGAGATTTGGTAACGGCATTGTCGTGACGGGCCATCTGCTACATGCAGAGTGATGTGCGTTGTTCCGGGTCGGCACATCACAGGTCATAGATCCAAGTGAAGGTGTCCTGATAAAATTGTAAATAACTCTGTGGTCGTCGATACTTTCATTCAATGCTCCATCGCAAGCTACCAAACAGCGTCTTCCAGGCCTAAGACCATGAGCAGCCATCCTCTCATTGCAGTTATTGGGGTGAATGGCGCTGGAAAATCGACATTCATCAACGTCGCATCCGGCAGGAATGATCTTGGAGTGGGACATGGTATTGAAGCATGTAGATAATGCACGACCAATAGTTGTGCCACTCACTAGCTGACAGGCATCTAGGCACGCAGGACATAACACCGAAATCTGTTTTAGTCGACAATGCATGGGTTAATCTTATCGACACACCAGGCTGGGACGACACATACCGTACTGACACAGATATACTCACTCTTATAGGAGATTATGTGGGGAGGATGTTTAGCGCCGGTCAGCTGTTGCAGGGCGTGATTCTCCTTCAGCTGGTGGATGGCACACGCGTATACGGCACCGAACGCAGGCGGAACAGATTATACGAGAGAATCTGTGGAATGGATGCGTATCGTAATATCGTGGTTGCTACCACGATGTGGAGTACCGTGGTTGACCAAGCCGCTGCTGACCAACGCGTTCAGCAAAGGATTGAATCACCAGAGTTTTGGGATTCTATGGTCCAGGGCGGTCCTTTCGCAACAAGCCCGCCCCCTTCAGCTCCAAACAGAGCTTGTGGGCAACGGCTACGACCTTTCGACTACGTCAGTCGGGATACAACTCACCACAGATATCAAGGCCATGATATTAAGAGACACGAGCCGTATAACGGAGCTGGAAGAGGAACTTCGGAGGACTGCTGCAGACAATGCTGCCATGAGAGCTAGGCTGGAGGGAGATCTTAACGATCTCATCGAGAAGCTGAAAAAGGCGGAAGATGATATCGAGAGACTCAAGCAACGAAGGGTGAGTTTTGCACGGATCTGTCTGTCTACCTACTGACGTTGTCCAGAGATGTGTGATCTTGTAAATCACGATCGATCGATCATGGGTGAGACGGAACAATGTTGGCAAGAAACAATGAGGAGGTACACGCGCCTTTAGCTCAAGATACTACTCGTGTCTCTTCTAGATTCTATATCGAACCCGTGCTTTGATGGGTGGGATAATTGTATAGTTTCTGGTGATTTGCTGGAGCGTCCCGAATGCAAGGGCGTGCACTTCCGTGGTATCGTGAGCAGCGCTACTCCGAGGCACATGATGCTGTGCGCTCTTTCCAGACCATGCCTTCTTTCAGCTCCAAGCTATACAAGCCGCCATGTGTAGATTGCTCAGCCAGAGTTTAATGATGAGCGACAGACGCCAAACTTCAGGCCCGTGTGGACACACCATCGCGCCGCTACCCCAGTCTATTGGCGCGCGCCCCTCGCTTCTAGGCAAGCTTACTTCTGCATCTGGCATGGTGTCGCGGACTCCAAACATGTGCTACCCCAGACATCCTTGCAACAACCCATCTGAAACATGCTGATTGGTTTCAAGCACCGCCCGCCAATCCTCCCACAAACCCAACCATAGATAGGCTTTTGATCTGGGATGTCGTTCGCAGGATTAGGGCCGGACTTGGAACGCGTACCTTGTGGGTTTACGGTGTCTCAGTGTGCGGCGGCTTGTGGGGGCTTGACATGATGGTTAAAAGGCGGAGGGGCTCGCTGCTGCGCGAGAGCAGGTAAAAGCAACGTGAATCAAGTCTAACAACTTGCAGACGTCGCGGTGTAACACTATTCTTATCCTTCGAGCGCGGGCCGCACAACACTTTCATTCACTTCTTATTGACGAATACGTCGCATTCGCGCCGTAATTTGGGGTCGAACAGGATTACTACTACACAGTCTTATCGGCCGCCCCTCGCTCACGACTGTCAGCTTTGCTCTCTGGCGGACTTCTAGACATATCATACTACAGTCTTTAGCCAATCGAACGGTCGACGGCCAAAATGTTCGTCGCGACTATCAAACTCTTCTCTTTCCTTGTAAACCCTGAGTTTTGGACCAGAACCGGCTTCTTCGTCGGCTACATTCTCGCCTTCCTCCTTGTTCTAGAGGTCGTCCGTCTAGCAAGCACAGATGCCAATCGCAAAGAAGTGGAGAAGATACTAGACGCGTATGCCGCGTCAAGAAACGATGTGCCTGTAAGAAGACGCCCAGAAGAAATCGAGGCGAAGAAGGTGGTGCAGGTATCTATCGACGAACTGGAGGACATGGAGAGAAGAAGTGTGGCAGCAGAGAAGGAAAGGACACAACAACTACAAGGAGCACGAGAACGGACACGTACACCTAGCCCTGCAGTGGCTCGGACGCCAGAAACCAAGCATGGTGAGGAGAAGCACAGACGTAGGGCGACGTCTACCTCTGTATCTCCCCACACCTCCTCTCAATCGTATTCAAATCCTCAGACCTCTTCCTCGAGTCCAACTCGCCGTCTAAGGAAGCGTAGCGATACGCTCAACTCCTCCAGCAGCGCAGAAGTCAGAGGTGCTGCTACACGGAGACGCAGGGAGACTTCGCCTACAGAGACTAAGACTCGGGAGTCTAGGCATGCGAGTCCGACGCTGAGATCAAGAAGTAAAGAGGCGAAGATCTTGGGTGGTTCGTTGGGGAAGATGCTTAGGAGTAGGGGATGAAGTCAAGGGAGAAGTCAAATCGCATCTCAGGCGTTTGTTCACGCGCGTCACTCATGACTTTACGAGGGATATGTAAATCTGAAATGTATAACACTTGGGTATCTTTTTGATATCGTCTATGCCGCCCAATCGTACTGCGTTCTTCTGTGTTCAAGCTCGACGACATGTCGAGGCTAAGCACCAGCAATGTCATACATACCCCCAATCTCCCTTTCAAACACCTCGAAATCCACACATTCGTCCTCGAACATCTTCTTCACTTTCTCCGCAGCTGCAACCTGCCTCTCTTGCGTAAAACCGCCGGGCGCATTACTTTCGTACTGGATGAGCTCGACCCACCGGAAGAACAAGCTCTCCTTGCCCATAGCCGTGAGCCGTTCTTTAAACTGTATGACCTTGTCCCTCGCTTCCGTTTCCGAGCCTTCGTCAAGCTTTGCGCATTCCCAGACAGCCCATTGTCCATTCTCTGTCTCAGGGTCGCCGACGTAAACGAAGACGCTTTTGCGGAGGTGATCAAGCGTAATGTCCTTGCGATCAAGGAGTTGCGTTGCAGCGACCATGCCAAAGAAATCCAGATCAAAGTCTGCATCCATGAGTAGGTACCCCGTCTTTTCTCTTAATCTCGACTTGTCAACCGCGGGTAGAACTCTGGTCTTGAAGAAGGGATTGTCCGCTCCGGCCCGGCCACTCCCGCCCTCGGCCTCTCCAAGCAGGTCTTTCGCTCCCCAAGACCTGCTCACTCTCACATATACTTCGTCGTCTCTGAACCCCACGTTCCACCGCCAGCTCACTGGGTTGCCTGGCTGCTCCACAAAGAAAGTGTATGGCCAGAGTGCCACGAAGCGGAACAGCAAGAAGTCCAGCATGAACATGAGCATGCGTTTTCCCACCCTCCATATCAAAGTCGCCCATGGTGTGGTGGCCCAGTATATGGTGGTTTCGTTATGGTTTCCGAGGACGGAGAGGATAATGGCCCAGTAGTGGGGTCCGATTGCGTACAGGCGCCATAGTATAAGCGCGAGGATGGTCGTGTTCAGGAGGACAGGGACGGCGAATATACGCCGTTTGAACCATGCTGGATGCACATCGACGTGTGATATGTATACAAGCGAGCGGTCAAAGGTGGAGAGGAGGGTGTCGAGTTCGGCCGGAGCTGCGGTGAAGGGCTGTGGGATGGCTTTCTTGGAGCTAGAGTTGGCGGGCTTGACCGCACGTTGCTTGGACTTCGGCGGCATTATGATAGACTAGGAAATCGCGGAAAACTACCACAGGGTTTGAACGAAGCATTGACCGGATTGCATGTGGCACACGTTATTGTTGGGCATGACATAAAGTCAAGTTCCGACCTCATTCCAAGGTTCCGACAAGTTTCACCGCGCCGAAAATCTGGGGTAGCTGCCATCAGCCACACACGACACCTCAGGACAACCATTGCCCACCTCACAAACGACAACTCCATTCCCCCTGGCTCGACAACAGGGGAAACATCCTAATCCGGTCCTTCATGCAAGGGCGACACCATCTTTCTTCGACTACCTCTACAGTTTCACATGCAACTTCTATTTCAGGATAAAAGCACAATCGGTCTTTTATTCTGCAAAACACCCGATACACGCATCATCCACCACCGTGCCCCAGATAGTGGTCCGTTTTGGGTTCATCTGGTCGGAGCTCGTTTGACGTTTTCGCCGATCCTCCACTCAGGAAGGGACTGTTGCAGATCTCCGGCATCACTGAGGAGACCCGGTACTACCATCAGCCTTCGATAACGTCAACATAGAGGCGCCTTATTGAGGCACAGCAGACTACACTGAGACTCAGGCAATGCTCTTATTCAAGAATAGCATGTCTTACATACTGCAAGATGTGGCAGCTCCTGGACACCATAGACAGGAGGCCCGACGAGAAAAAGCATACTATGCGTTGAGAATAGCAAAGTGTTAGATCAGCGGAATGATCGCTCGCGTACCACGGGTGCGGTAAGTATCCACTCTCCGAAGAAGCCGGCACCCCGATTTAGTGAAGGCGTTGTGCTGCCCACATCTAAGCACGGCTGCGGATAGGCCGCGCACACCATATGGAACCATTGCCCATCCAATTAGAAGCAGACATGGAATCTTGACTGCATACTCGTCATCTGGTTTGCTTATCTGGGCCTACTGGTGCCCTGCCCTAAGCGATGCATACTATCGTCTAGACCGCAGCAGTCGAGTGGTCGTAGAACCTGATATACACCACCTCTTTCCCGCCTCCAACGTGGAGCTTTTTGGTCCTCTCCAACCTCCTCTGCAGCAAACGTTTCATACGTCGAACATCAAACAGGCAAAGATGTCTTCGCAGCAAGGAACCCAGGGTCCTCCAGTGAGTGATGTCAACTTCAGCCACCTGCTACGCATAACTAACCATACCCAGGCTGGAGCATCTGGGCAAGCTGGACGAGGCCCCCCGTATGCACCTCTGAATGCCGGCTTGGGTGGAACACCTATGATCGTGCCTGATGTGCCTGTCTCAGTCGTTTTACTTATCCTATACCTCATGTTTGGTATCATCCACATCAAGATTCTGAAGGGCAACAAGGGTCGCGGGCATAAGTTCATATTCAATGGCGCTATTCTTGGTATACTCCCACCACACCCTCCGATTGGTATGGCGGCGACTAACATGCCGCAGGTCTCTGCAAGATTCGAGTCATTACAATGTCCTTGCGGATAGCATGGTCCAACTATCCTAGGAATGTCGGTCTTGCTATCGCAGCGAACATCTTCGTCTACATCGGTACCATCATCTTGTACGGTGTGAACTGGTTCTTCGTCCAACGCGTTGTCCGCGCCCAACACGCACGTCTAGGATGGTCAACACCGTACCGCATCTTCCACAGAGGCGGGCTTGTCGTGCTGGTAGCTACACTGCTCATGCTCATTGTCAGCCAGATATGGCAGTTCTTTACGCGCAACCAAAGTAAACTCGATGCCTTCCACGTTTTGTTCGTCATTGCGCAGACGTATTTCACCATATTCTGCGTCGCACCAGCTATTCTCGTCGGCGTCTCTCTCCTCATCCCACGAACAGAAATTGACAAGTTTGGTGCTGGCCGACTGAGATATAACATCACCATCCTACTCATCTCGGTGTCCCTCCTCTCGATTGGACAGATATTCAGATGCGTATTGGCTTGGATTCCTGCAATCCCATTGGTCGATGTCCAGCGCGGCATTGTCGAGTTACCATGGTACTTGAGCAAGGGAAGCTTCTACTGCTTCAACTTTGTTACTGAGATCCTCGTCATCATCATGTTCGCTGTAGTCCGTGTCGACCTACGTTTCTATGTGCCAAACGGAGCAAGAAAGTCAGGCGACTATTCTAGAAGTCGTATCGACCTGCACGACGAGAACGAGAAGAATCTACCTCTCCCAGCGCCCGTACTTCCTATTTCAATGCTGCAACCGAACGACTCAAACCAGACATTGCACAGATATCAGTCCTCAGTGTTCGAGGATACACAGACACTAGCTGATTCGCTGCAATACCCTCACTCTACACTAGAAGTGGATGACAAGACAGGCAGCTGGAAAGTCAAGCGCCTCTCGGGCGATTCTTCGAGAAGTCGGCATACCACCATTTCATTCGCGACCTCCTCTAAATCGACGCTAAACGACAAGACTCCGCGCGCCGAAGCCAACGTGCCTCCAGTTCCTGAGCTTCCTGCCGAGTGGCCATTGCCAGCTTCTACCCCACCGCCGAATGCAAGCTCCGTTTTGGAGCATACAAACCCGCCCTCGCGCCGAGCTACACCACAACGAGAGACCTACGAACTTGAGCATCACCAGTTAAACGAGATAGACGTAGGTGATGCGGTGACCGACGCCCTAGCAAAGTTGGAGATGAATAGTGAAAGACCAAAATCTAGCCTTGCGACACCACCTCCAAGATCACATCGAAAGTCTCCAGTTCAGGTTTATACGCCGACTCTACCCTCTACAAACGATGGTCGCTCACCGTCTCGAAATGCCCGCAAGCGAGTTACCTTTCCACAGAAAGAGGTCATTCGCAGTCGCGCGAATAGCGCTAACTCTCAGGGGGGTCGAAGAACCCCTGCTGTCGAAAAGATACCCGAAATTCCAATTCAAAGGCCTACGGAGTCGTCGATCAGACCTCCTCACCGCCCCAGTCCGGCAAGAAGTCCTAGTCTGGAGATTATCTCACTACTCAACCACATGAGTAGCGATTCTACTCGAATCGTAGACGCATCGCTCCAGCGAACACGTGCTGCCTCAGTCGCAGGATCAGAGGAACCCAAGACGCCCAAGACTCCTATCACCCCTGTCACACCCGCTTCCTACATGATGACACGACAGACAAGTTCAAAGTACAGTACTGATAATAGCTCGACGAGCTCCGATGCAAGAGAGCGAGAATTGGCGAGGGAGGAATTCCGTCGTTTCAGCTCAGAAACGCCGCTCAGGTACTGATGCAGCGGTGCCCACGAAATCATGACTTTCATTAATCTCTAATGGTTATCCATTGTATATCGACACTTGACTGGTGCCCCTAGCAATTTGTACCTATGGTGCGCTACGCATACAGTGGTCCATACACCGTTCCCTATCGAACGTTTTCCTTCTTGTACATACCTACAACTCAGATCTGAGAATTTCCTATCCAAGTCTCTTAGGCGTCTAGTTTTATACAATCAAATTCCCATTACCTGTTGCCTAAGCGGCACGGCGTGATTCTCATATCCGCTCCGGTTCTTTGTCTCCACCTCACATTTCAGGCAACAACATTCTTGCAGCCACTATTCGTTCGTGACAGTAAATTCAATCTGGAAGTGCACGAAAGCACTGAAGGATGAAAATGATGCGTGGATCTACATGCCACTACAAGCGGAGCGGGATGCATCTGTACATCCGTTGCGTACAATCGAAGTTTTATAAAGTGCTTGAAGACAATGACCAATATTTCGAACCACCAACAACCCCACGAACTTTGACCATAATCCAAATCTCCCAATATCACCAAAATGTGCCCAACCAAGACTCCCATCCGCGTCGGCGTCCTCTACGAAGAAACTCAAATGACCGTGGGTGTCTCTGTTGCAGAGGTACCAGAGATATACACTGACTTTGTACACCCATATCTAGGACCTTGCGGGCCTTGACCTCCTCGGCAACTTGACTCCCCAAACCATCAATCTGATCGCAGCTATGAATCCGCAGTTCGCTTCCATGGTGCCCCATGCCATCCCCATGGACTTTCTCTATATTTCTTCCTCCATGGATTCCGCCCATGTCACACCAGACATGTACGTGCGTCCCACGCACACCTATGCGACTGCTCCACGCGATCTCGATATCCTGCTCCTCGGTGGCCCAAACCCAGCTACTGTCAAAGAAGAGAGCCTGTCGTTCTTGAAGGAGGCAAGTAAGCAGACCAAAGTCATCTTAACGACATGTACGGGAGCCATGGTAAGTTGTGCCTATACGAAATGCATGTGAGACATACACTGACTTCGTATTTTCAAATCTGCAGTGGTTGGCAAGGAGTGGGGTGTTGCAGGGGAAGAAGGCTACTACAAATAGGGTCATGTTGGACGTGGCGAGCAAGATGTTTCCGGGTACGGAGTGGGTAGATCGCAGGTGGGTCGTTGATAGGGGTTGCTTCAATGGTGCGGAGATTTGGACCGCCGGTGGTGCTGGGTGTGGTGAGTCCTCCCAAAATGTGAATCTGATAGAGCTTGTACTAACTACGATGTGGGTATTGACATGTTCATCGAGTACACGTACCAGAACTTCGATAAGAAAATGGTCGAGTTTGGATGTGTCGGATTGGATTTCGATTACGAGGGGCGTTCTGAGTTTTACAAGGGAAAGCTGCCTGACATGACCATGTCTTAGTTCTGTAGAGGAACTAGAACTTCGTTATTCGGAGAAGTCGTGGGAAAGTTAGAGGCTCAAAGCGTACACGACATGGGACGTCAAGCTCATATGAAGTCTATGGCGCTCTCCTCCAGAGAATGAACTGGCGCAAGTAGGTTTCTTACTTGTCTTACTCTTAACTCTACAATATCTGCCATATAAAATGCTGCCCTCTCTTTCCCATGTCCCACTGTGAAGTCAAGATTCAGGTAACGGCGCCATCGGCTTACCTTTATTTTTGGGAAGGACAGAATGCATGCATGTTCATACACCAAACACTTGCACCTTTTTGAAGATCGAAAACGGATTGTTAATGCAAAGATAAGAGGACATGAAATTTGACAGAGTCTGACAACCTGTAAATGCACTAGCACCAACACATTCTCGCTTTCGTTCCTCTTCTGACGTGTGCTCATGATAGACTTGGCTAGTTGCGATTAAGCTGATCGTCACTATTCTCCTTGCAAGCGATTATGAAGATATCAGCACAGACGCGTTCACACTACAACACATTCGACTTCATTAACATTCTCGATTTTCCCATGCTATGTACTTGGTATACGAGCGTGCAATATCCATGTACATGTAGTCGTACAAGGAGTTCCAACTCAAAATAGGCACCGCGTCTCCTTTTCCTACAAACATTACTTCGGTGCCGTGACCACGCCTTCGTACTCTCGACTCGCCATGTAATCCAGGGTACGCTGAAAGTGTTTCCTTGGGTTCTCAAGCGAAGAAGCATTCTCGTTGGATTGTAAGTTTGAGTGGATGAGCTCGATGAGGCCGTTGAGGTACTTCGTTGTGACCTGCTCGTTGTTAGTGACATTCATATGAAAGGAGAAGAGTGCAACTTACAGCGTCGTTCTCTTGGTCGAAGTAGTAGACATATCTGTTGAGTATCTCAACAAACAGCTCAACAGAGACCGCAGCGTCCATGCATGCATCGGCCACGCGGAGAGCACGCTGTAAGCACTCAAGCACACGCTTGCCATCGCGATAGAGCTATACTTGTCAGTATCAATCTTGTCAAGAGTAGAATTGATTTCGCTCACGTTCTTTGGATCCTCTTCGCCCAACGCCCTAATCTCAGTCGCCCACCACAGGTGACTTGCAAGGTATACCGCACGACATTGATCTGGCTTCTTGAGTAGCTTGCTTCCATGCAACGCGCACTTTGTAATCAAGGTATCGTAGTTCTCCTTGCCAAAGTTCCTCGTTGTATGCAGGCCACTCGCAATGACGCACACGGCCTGAAACTGCGCTCTTGAATCGCTAATCGCTTCCTCATATATTGTAAATGCTTGCGCGAAGAACTCGTACGCGACCTCCTCGAAACCGTTTTGATCTGCTACTTGACCGCAGGCGATGAAGAGGCGGAGCGAGAGATCTGCGGAGCCTGTAACGCGGGTGTACAGCGTCGATAGAGTGTTGTGCATGAACTTGTAAAGAGCTGATGACTGCGATTGCCAGTTGTCTTCGAAGTGTTCGCGCTTCTTGTATTGACGTGCGAGCTTGAGTGATGCTGTGATAATGGCCGGGGATGTGTATTTGACACGCTCGTTGCCTTCGGCAAAAGACTTGCGCGCAGCTTGGAGGAGCTGAGAGAGCTGTTAGTGTGCATCTTGGTTGAACATTAATTATACTCGCCTTGAATTGGGTATCGTTGTCCTTGCCACGGATGAGATGTACTATCCGCGCTAGCCATCCTTGCTCTTCTATTGTCTCCTCTGTCTCCTGTGCTCGTCTTTGAATTGGTCCACCTGGGTATCCTTGGGCTTGTTGGATGCCTTCACGAATGAGGACCTTGAGAATCTCCAGCACACTTTCGAGGTTCTCTACAGATGCAATGAAGGTCTGATTCCGCATCAGACTCCTTGCAACTTCGCCAGCAACTGCTCTCCGAGTCGGGTACGGTTGTGAATGTAGAAGAGGGATGAAGTTCGGTAACGCGAGCGCGGTGAAGAGAGAGATGTAGGTCTTGATCGGCGAAAGGAGGAGGCTGAGGATCTGGCTTTGGGTGGCTTGTGAGTGTAAGTCGGCGCTGTTTTGGTATTCGGCGACCTTTTGGTTTGCAAAGGTAAGGACCTGGTCAATGTAATCGAGTCTTTCGGGATAGATGTTTCTAGTAGAATTAGCACAATCGTCGTCATCATCATCATAAATATTTGTAAAACATACAAGGCGAGGTTTGCCAGCGACACCAGTAATCCGATTGTGTCCTGTATTGGCAACCGCTGCATCTTAACCAGCGTCTGTACCTGTTCGTGAAAGATCTCGAACAGTTTGACGTTGTTGGGTATACCGCGCCTCTTCTCGATGTCACCATCTGTCTCGGTCGCTTGGTTTTCTTCAGTCTCAGCAGAGGTATCCGTTGGTTTGGGTGGTTCTTCGGAAGCCTCTTCTGTGCTTGGTTCCGTCTCCGAAGTCTCTGGTGCGTCTCCGTTCTGCTGCGCTGGCGCTGGCTCTGGTTCGGCCGCCTTCTTCTCCTTTGCTATCCGCATTTGTTCCATGAGCTGTGCTATCGACTCTTCTTCCGTCTTCTTGCGCTGTTCTGGGCTTTCGGACTCGGCTTCTCTTTGCGCATACGACGACAATCGGTCCATGAGGCCCACGACAATGGCTTTAACATTTACATGTGGGTTCAAGCGCGCAACGGCAGAGAGGAACTGATCGAGCGTGTGTAGGTGGAATTCGTCAGGGAAAACCTGTGTGACAACTGCTGCATGTTAGCGGTCTCCGGGTGTCCACAGTTTGTGACATACCCTCCAGTAGGTATTCTTGCGCTAGAACATCCCGACATTGTACAATCTGCTCTAGCAACGGGTTCAAGATCTTCTTGTAGTTCTCCAAGTCAACCAATTGGCTGAGTCTGACCAGGTTACTTCCCACGAGAAGTTGCAGTTCCTGTCGCTCTTTGGTACGCTGTTCGCGCTCTCTCGAATGTCCCTGATGTTGTAGTCGCACCCACAGCTTGTTCATCTCGACGAAGTTTGTCAAGATGAAGCTGATGGAGTCCTGGAGATTGCCCTCGGGCCCCTCGCTGTCGCCAGATGGAAGGCAGTCGCGTGCTTGACCCGCAAGGTAGTACCGCAAAAACAGACCACGGATAGGGTGTTGGACTCCGCGACTCATCTCCATCATATCCTTCATAATCTCCTTGACGGGCGCATCCTCAATAGCCATGTAGACGGTCCCGACGGTGACCATGAGGTACAGGCGGGGGATGATATTTCCGGCATACTGGACGAGTTCGTAGAGATCGGCGAGGTGATTTACGGGGTGGTTCTCGCGGAGGTAGACGGCGAGATGGCGCAGGGCATCGAAGACGGCCATGTAGAGCTCGTAGTACTGCTTCGGGCCGAGGCTGCTGGTCCGAAGTTCGGAGACAAGTGTCGAGCTGTGCATTGGAGTCATTAGCACTGCAGCGCATAGCCAGAACAGCCCTCATATCACGTCACACGCGTACCTGCACTTGAGCGCATCCATCAACTTGCCCGGCGTCTCGAGACACCGCCGCATGAGCATCGTCTGCTGGCGCACCACGGCGAGGGCATCTTCGAGCAGACGAGCTTGGTCTTCTACGGGGGGCGGCGACGCCATTGTGTGCGAGAGAAGCGGATCGTCCGGGGTTGTGGAGAGCTGGTCGTGGTGGATAGGCACCGCCGCCTTGGGCGTAACCGTTCGCCAAGCCAGCAGGGATGGGAGCTTCCCCTTCGAGCTGCGTCATCACTAGTCTAGCCATCACTCTTCCATTTCAAAACTTGCGCTTGTTCATGAATCTATTATCTAATCTAATTGTACATGTGTGCTCGTCTCGCAGACGCGTCTAGTCATCATACTTCCAATCCTCGCCATCATATGATGGCTTCCAACCATTACTCGTATATATCGTAAAACACAGTAGAAGAAAAGAACAGGCGGATCGGACCAGTCCACCGCCCAAGCGAGAGAAGAGAATGAAGGCTCCATTCAACGCACCTCGGGATAATGCCTTCCCCTGGGGTGTGAGAGAACAAGCTCGTGAAGCCGGCTACGGGGCCGCCGTGACCACTGCGGCAGCCTCGAACGTTTTGATGCGGTAGTGGGTGTGCCACATGCCATCGTCATAGTACTCGGTAGGACCATCGCCCTTCGATATTGTGACGGTAACGAATATTGGCTTCGGCGTCTCGATTGGTGTCGAGATGCTACTAGAGAACGAGCTTGAGATGGTTGATGTTGCGATGGATGTTGATGAAGGTACCGACGGACTGGGAGTTGATGAAGATCCTCCCGGAGTCGACGTCGACGTCGTTGTTGGAGCGGGTGTTGACGAAGACGAAGACTTCGATGCGCTGCTCGAGCTGCAGCTGGTTGTCGGTGCTGGCGCCGGCTGAGGCTTGATGACGGTCGCAGTAACTTCCTGAGTGACTGTTGCTCCCGGACCGACGACTTCGACGGTCTTTGTCGTCTCAATCACCGAAGTGGCTATCGCAGGTGCTGGGGTTGATGAATCTCCACCAACATTGACAACCGAATAGCTCTTATCGCGTCGACCAACATCGCGCGGTTTTGGTGAGTCAAAAGGCCGACCAGTAACCAGTGTGGAGAAAAGAGCGGCCAGAGCCAGAGTTCGGGGGTTGAGAAGCATGGTCTTGAAAGTATCAAAGAGGCTTATTGACTGTCCGGCGCCGTTGATAGTCGTGTACACGTGTTGAGCACGGGTTCGGTGTTGGTATGCGCTGGCAGAGAACAGAGTGGAAACTGCGATGTAGGTATCCGTTTATTAGATCCATAGTAGCTGCCGTTGTGTTGCGTAATTTCTCGAAGGCTGGAAATGTGGTGGTTGGGTGATGGCTGGTAACGCACGGGCCACATTTGACGCGAGGTGGAGGCGACCGGCTGGAACCATCCAAAACCTCTACCACTAACCACATAGTTTGGAACTGTCCGCTCTATCCGAAGCATGTTGTTATCAGTCAAAATGTCGCGCCCTTACATCAGAACGCTGATGTGAGATGAAATTCTGGTATTGCAACACGAACTAACTCATCGCCTCTCAACACCCCTGTCCTGTGTGCCTCCTGGCATTTCCTGCGGCGGATGGTGCTTATAGCTCAACGGCATCTCCTGAGCATCATGTGTTCCTTGCGCTTCCAATATCGGACCACCTTGGAACTGGCTACCGTACGGATTCGCGTTCATCTCCTGGGCCTGGTACGGTTGGTACTGGTGCGGTTTGTCTTGAGCCTCAACCTCAGTCCTATATGCTAGCCCGTCCACTTCATCTCGCTGACCTATCCACGGTTGCGGCGGGTTCGTCTGTGACATCTTCGGCTGTAGCACACTCGCCTGTGTCTGTGCCTGTTCGTTTATTTGTCGCGTTCGCTTCTTGCTATGCCGTCGGAACGCCCAGATAGCCAGGCCAGCGAAAAGGAGAAACAGTCCTACTCCAACCCCCACGCCTATGCCAATTGTTCTCTGCTGCGCTTTCACGGCATTGTCTTTATCAGTAGTCAGTCGGACTGGACCGTTTCAATGCTGTAAAGATGAACTTACCGAAGGCGCTTTGCGCATCGTTCTTTGCATTTTCTAGTATCCAGAATTAGGTATTCGAACGTGAGACAAGACCTCAAGATATACTAACCGTAGTTACTGTTCGGAGCAGACGTGCTGCAAATGTATTTGTTGGATGAGTCTTGTTCGCAGTTGTCAAGATTTATTGAAGTTGGGAAGGACATGATGAGGAAGTGATATCTTGATATACAAATTTGCACCAACGCATGCAAATTGATACTGTATCAAAGGGAATGTCGGTAGGCACTACCAATATATGCAAGACGATCGAATTGTTCTACTTATATCACCGCCCGGCGATGGCATCACAAGGCTATGTCCATCCTTCTCATGGTGAGTAGCACCCGGCTAGCTCTTTCGAGTATAGCTCATAGAGTTCAAGAAACGCTCCGCGCACCGGTAGAGCTGATTGGCAAACTCTCAGAGTGCCAAGTACGCACACAGCCTCGTTAAGGTGGCCTTCAACCGGACGCCTAATGTGGCAGGAAAATCAATGTCCTCTTTGGGGTGTGCAACAATGATCACTTCCAGGATTTCTGCCTTGCACTACGGTAAAGTCGGATTTATCCCTACGCTATATCGGTTCCTCCTCTCGCGTCTTCCGAAATCCATTAACAGTGGCGACAGCGGCACAGCAACAACTCGCGAAGGTAACACAGCTGACTGCGAACTGCGTCAGATGTTCAGTCTATCATTACTCATTGTGGGATTAGGAGTACAACCTCCCTAGCTACATTCATCTGTTACCTCACAACACAAGAAAATCGAGCTCCTCCATTCATTAACCAAACTTATCAAGGCGTCTTCGCCTGTCCGTCCGCCATACTCGGTTTCGGGTTTCCCTCGAAGCTCTTTGCATGTTTCCAGCCCTCTTCCAAAGAATTTGCAAAGAGTCGTGTAGTGCCCCAGACATCGAACTGCACAGCAATTGCTCGCATACCTGACTGAATGGCCATTGGTATCTGGTCTACCCCCATCACACCACTGATCATCATTAGCTACCTTTTTCAAAATCGGAAAGGGCCATAAACTTACCCAAAGATAGGTAAATCATGCTTGGCGGCCGCAGCATTGAACTTGCCCATCGCCTCGAAGAACTTGGGATCAGGGTTTCCCTTCAAGAATCCATCGATATCCATACCAGCCTCAATCATGTAATCTCCAGGGCCGAACATGAGACCAGAGATGCCTTCTACTGCAGCAATCTCCTCGCAGTTCTCAACACCCTTGACCGATTCGATCTGCGGGATGATACAGACGTGATTGTTCGCTGTCTGCACCTGGTAGGCATCGTTGGGGTAGAGAGACTGGGTCATTCCAGGAGTGAAGGTCCAGGGACTGAATGAACGGTGGCCTTTGCCGCCTAGAAAAACGTTTTAGTATCATGGGGAAGATAAAGAGAAGAAAGGGTGACGTACCGCCAAAGTACATCTCTTTCATGAAGTCCTTGACTTCTTGGGCGGTCTCAACATGCGGGATGACGATTCCGGCACAACCTGCATCAAGTGCTGTTGTGAGGCTGATTTCGTCATTTTTTGGTACACGGCAGATGGCCATTGATTTTCCCTCCGAGTGATGCTGTGCGGCGTGGATGCAACTGTGTCGCATCGGTCAGCGGTATGCTCTCATGTATACCCCAGCCCTAAAACAATCTCATGGTTGACCATCTTAACAAGACAACTTACTCGTGTAATGTCAACCGGTTGTACATGCCATGCTCCACATCGAACCAGATGAAATCTGGCTTCGTGGATGCGATCAACTTCGTCATAAAGGTACTTGGGATGCCTTGTGCGATACCCATGAGACTCTTACTCGCATCAGCTTGAGCGTCTTTAAGCGCTTGCTTGAGATTTGCAGGTTGGGTGAGCATAGCAGCGCGGTAAGGGGCTTTGGTATGGAGCTCGGGCTGCTCGCTGTAGGGTTTGAAGTCCGCCATCATGAACGGTGTTTTGAATGTAGCAGAGATGAGCAATAATATGAGAATAATGCAGGCTCAATAAAGGTCAGGAGGAAGAGCTTTGGATGTTCCTGTAGAAGTGCTACCTTCAGTCTGGAAGGGGTACTCGAGTATTTATGTAGATTGAGTACATTTCCATATCTTTATCGTAGAAAGTAAGCGGTAGCACTGGAACGGAATGGCCACGACAGCTGCCTCGATAGAGCGTCTACTCTACTCCACTGGTAGGGTATGAAACGTGGGGCATGACGGTGGCCTCGTTTCTTAGTGCTTATTACCTAAGACATTTCGCCCTGGTCGTAGTATGCGTTAGCAACATGCTATCCTTACCCCTAACGCGTCGTTGTTACGAGATCTACGCAAGAGAGAAAGCAATTGCCCTTTCAAGAGCATACACATTGGGCAGCACATCGATATGAAACACTACAGTAGATGGCAAAGACCAACAATCAAATAATTTCTTCCTTCTACGCGAGGGGTATCAAAGCCTTCATTACTACAAGTGCTGACGCTGACTGATTTTACAAAGCTGAAATCTATGCCATCTGTATTTGGCACGACGATGATGCAGTATGACAGTGGCGAATCGGGTGCCAGAGAAGAAGAATGCACCTGGTGCCTAGACTACAGCACTTTGGATAATAGTGCTAGAGCAAGCGATAGGCTGATGCGCGAGGCTCGCAGTTTCGTGTTGCCCAGCGCTTATAGCCGTTAACTCCATACACCGTGTAGACAAAAGGTACCACACTTCCGAACACAACGCCTTGATCTCGTGGCAACAAAATGTGCTCGGATTTAGTGAAGCCATCACAGATGCTAACGCCGAATAAAGGTGTAAAAGTTGTCCGAGAGCCCGAATCGGTCCGGATGGTGTAGAAACGGACCGTTATATCCAAGAGGTTCGTGGGGTACATGGCAGGGTTCTAATAACCTTGTGATAACGTCGAGGTACTCGAATATACTGGCGACGGATGTATAACTATCGAAGGATGTGCGCATTGACACTCTGGCGACGTTGACCGATCAACTTGCGTGCTTGAGTATTGGCTTGGAGATCTCATCGACGTTCGGGTTGTCGACAATTTGGGAGCGCCTTTTTCCATTTCATTGATTCCCATAGGCTTTTCTTCGATATCCATACTCTTCTTCTCCATCTCTTCCGCTGCCATGATGCCCGTGTTCTTCTTCTTTTTCATACGCTTTGGTATATCCATAATGATAGCAGCGACGACGATGAGTGCCAGAAGGCCCGCGACACCACCCACAGCAATTACGGCGACTATGCTGGTGGAAAGACCGCCGAGTTTGCTTTCTGGTCCGGACATTGCGATCGAAAGAAGATGCTTGGCGTTGGCTAATATGAGGTTGGTTGGCGCAACAGAGCAGGATAATGATAATAGAAGGAAGTTTGAACAGTGGTCACTATAGTGAACTAGAGTGGTATATGGCTGAGCTGAATGAATGAGGATGGAACGAGTGTGAGTGCGTTTGCAGCGCTTCGAAGATGTGGTTTCGTTTCAACACCATCGCTGCGTAGCGGTCTCCTTATACAATTCGTCTCATGACCTGTCATCGATTTCTCCAAGCAAAGAAGCGAGCATAGTTTCCCATGTCGAGCGATTCTAGGCCGGCAAGCGTCTACATCGTGCCAAAACTTCAGCTGGTGGCTTTTCCATCGAGCAGATACAGCGACACTACATCTTTTCCGAAGCCAACGACGCAAGCCACGAGGCTGGGCGTCATGGGCATGTTGTTTGTCTAGTCAGCCGGCTTCGCTGTTGTGCGAGTAAAAATAGTCGATTATCCCAAGCGGTGCTGGTAGTACATGGGCTGATTTGCTCAGGGGTGCTAAGGCTGAACGCTAACGCGATGAGGTGTTTCGGGCGTGCTGGCTGTATCGAATTCAGAGCGCTTTCATCTTCACTGGCTCACTTTATGTTCGAAGCGAGAAGTGTATTGTGCAGCGCATCACTTAGCGGCATGCTAGACCTGTACTTGATGAATGTTGTTGCATACGTTTTGCTCACAGGCTGGGGATATCTGTTTGTTCGGTCTGGAAGTCGAATGGCGTCTTACGTGGATGTGCCGGCTGGTGCGGTGCCTGACATCAAGCACTCGAACTCATGAGGCAGCGTCAGTCGAGCCGCTGAACGGTGAACCGATGCACGAAGCCCTTTATTCAGCATAGTGAGAGGAGCTTGTCGGGGCGGCCGAGTGTTCGCTGGACTGTACGTAAGAACTAGTCACCTACTAGTGCTTCTAGCGCCTGGCTGACTCCACGTTTTTCGGTCGTAGCCGCGGCGGTTCTCGACTAGGACAGAGGCTTCGCTTCGGACAGTCACAACGTGGAGATTTGCACTGGCCTTACTCGTACGATTACCCAGCTACCATTTCAACGGGCTGCTAGCACTTTTGAGATTTATACCCCACAATCAAAACAAGCTTAAGCATCGTAGTAAAAGCATCACGAAACCTTCAAACTAACTTTCGGCTGCACATAACGAGAGATTGCTACGGAAGACATTCGTTCTAACCACCAAACCACTGTCGCAGACGACTAACCGAGAGCACAGTAGAGTCCATCGAACGTTCGAAAGCCACTAGATCGCCAATTGCTAAGATGGCTCCCGGCACTAAATATTACGACTTGCGAGTCGACAGTGCGCCATGTTCAAATACCACTCGGGATCAGTATTCCTCGATGATCCCAAAGCTCTCATAGTTTGATATATGCATTGTCAAGTAGCAGGTTCTCTTGGAAGAGCCCATTCAGACGCATCAGATCAATCAGAGTCGACACTATCTTGATGCAAGAAAATTATCAGGATGATGAGACCGGCCTTCACCACATTCATAAACTTGCGTTCTCTTCCAATCGTCCAGGCCGGAGTCGACACCAGAGACGTCGAGAGAAACACGTTACGATATTTCGATCCTTCTTGAGGAAGTCATATCATCGCCTTGTATGTTTTCGATCTCAAGAAGCGAGGTGGTGGAGGAAGAATGCGAAACTCGAGAAAGAGAAGGGGTTGTATGCGCCATCGACACAATGAGGCATAATTAATATGGATAGTACAATATGAGACGAGATGACTAGACGTAATTGTCTAATGGTGATGGTGATGTTCACCAAGATTGACATCAATATAATACCAACATATGAAGCCGAAGCCCAGCACTACATACGAGATGGACCCCCAAACCAATGATGCAATGTTGCCATTCTTTCGTTACGCCCAAAACACCACGTAAATGCAACTCTGCTATACACAAATATACCTTTTCAGCCGAGCCTGTCGCTCGCGCGGTTCAGTATATCAGCCGTCTTTTTGATCGCTTTGGCAGCGGCGTCCCAGTCTTTCTTCTCGATTGCCTCGCGTGCAAAAGGGAAGACGCTGGCTTCCAGGCCGTTGTTAAGATCGGGTGCGAAGATGACGTGTTTGTATTGGTCACGGTTGGGGAGCTATGCGTGTATTAGTCGATGTTGGCCATGTTTGTGAAAGAATGAGCTGAACTTACACCATGAGGCCCCTTGTCATCTTTGCCCCTTGCAAGATCAAGCAAGTCGGTCTCAAAACCTGCAATTCTTCCGTTGTGTGCGACTCTTTGTATAGTGACACCACTGCTCTCAAAGCCACCAGTCGCATAGACTTGGTTATACCAAGTTTGTTCCCAACGTCCAAACGCCTCCGCCTTCTTCTTGAACATACTAAGGCTGTCTACCAGAGGCTGGAAAATCTCAATGTCGTACTCTCCACCACCGCTCACTTTCTCGGTCCAGTCCAACAGCTTTTGGCCCTCTTCTTGCAAAGAGCGGGCATAGTCGTCAATCTTCATAGGGATGATGGGCTCTTGGGAAAGCTCGAGGATAAGGAGAACCCAGAGTTGGGTGAGCAGCGCATGGTAGGAAAAGGAGGGGTCGATGTATTTGCGCATCCAGGAAAGCGTCTCGTAGCAGCTGCGCGCGATGGGATTCGATTGGCCTTCTTTAGTAGTGAAGCCGAAATCGAGCGAGGAGGTACCGACGATGGACTGGAAGGCGACGTAATCACTTCCGGCCCCTAGATTGCCGATCTTAGAGTCTGAGGTTTCCCAGAGTTCTTTTAGAGTCTTGTTCTCGTGGGGATCGGACAGTCGGTCGAGCACGCGCGTCCAGGCATGTTGGAAGATGGGAGATCCGTTGGCCCAGAGTTTGTCACCTGTCACGCCCACATCGACATTGAGGTAGGCAACAGCGCTATCGCGAAGGGCTTGGACGTTGGCTTCAACGTGCTCTGTGGAGCCGATTCTGTTATATTCACCAGCGTCCCAGGAAGCAAACTCGATAGTGCGGAGGGGTCGCCACCCTTGAGTACGCAACTCGCCCAGTACACGGACGACTTCGAGCATAACAGCCGTGCCAGAGCCCGGGTCTGCTGCACCGAAGCACCAGGAGTCGCGGTGGTTTCCGATCACGATCTTGCTAGCGGGATCTTCGCTGCCTTTGAGGGATCCGAAAACGTTGGTAATGCGCTGTTGTTCGACCTCATCCTGGTCGTTTTGCAGGAACACCTTTGGAGAAGTCTTTGGATGACCAGAGAACCATTTGTCGCCAACATCCGGTACACCACCAACCCACTCATCCGGCAGCTCCTCGCCTGAACCTTTGAGCGACTTGAGGAGTTTCTGCGCATCCTTCCAGGAAAGTGGTAGACTTGGGATCTTAGGTAATGCTGGGTTCTTGTCTCGCGGCATACGCTCCACCTTCTTCACACTCGGCCGTCCAGGCGTAAGAACATCTCCCATGATCATGTTTGTCTGTGCAACCGAGCCTCGTTGCACGCTGTCACCAGGTCGCCATTTGCCATCCGGCCAGGGATTTCCCTTTTTGAAGCCGTCGTCTGCTGGGTCTGAGTATACCAATACACCGGCGACTCCAGCGTCTTGCGCATATTTGACTTTCATGGCTAGGTCCGGCTGTGTGCCGTAGTATCGGCAAAGCACGATTGCACCTTGCACGTCCACCTCGCTATCCCATAACCGCTTGAAGTCTTTCTTGTCGCAGTAGTTGACGTATATCAGAGGTCCGGTAGCGTTCCCACTCGCGGACATAGCGTGGTAGGCGGGCGTTTGCGCTTTGGCTGGATTGAAGACGGACGGTTCTTCGAGTTTGGCTTCCCATTTCTTCTCCGGTGGATCCACAATGGCGACTTTCCGGCCGCCCTTGTTCGCATAGTTCATGTATACGTAGTATCTGCTCAAGTCAGCGTGGGGCTCAACAATGCCTCGGATGTCTAGCATACTCATCATGGGTATATGTATCCATGTGTGCGTCCTTGAATTTGCCTTCGATCCACTGGCCCAGCACGTAACTTCCCTCGGTTCCGCCTATGTGGTCGTAGCTTGTGATGTACTCGAGATTCTTCTCAATTCTCCAGCTCTCCACGCTCCCCATGGCCGTCGACCGTACCCACTCGGGGTTGAATGGGGTGCCGAATCCACCGCCCATGGGCACCACCTCGCTGACGACCAGAAAGTAGACGAGGATTATGATCAAGATGAGACCGAACAGTCGCGCAATGATGGACCATCCTGGCTTGTACTCTTCTGGTATGGTGGGTATATGGTCCGTCACAGCGCTGAAGTTGGGACGCCAGCTCGGCCAGGGTATCCGGGGCAGGTTCCAACTGGAGAGTGAATGTCTGATACTGTAGAAGCGTTTCGAGAACCTCCCTCTTGATCTGTTCCGCCTCGCCCGTCCTTCTTCGACAGCCTCTGGGTCCAGGATATCCATCTCCTCCATGGTCTGGCGCAGGTCCTCGTCCTGGCTCTCCCGCACCGGACTCCCGAGATCCGAGTCGCCATCGTCGTCTACCGACTGCACTGAAGGAGCCTGGTAGTATCCATTGCGCCTGCGCGGATCCGACTGGACGCGGACATCCGGGCTCAGCAGGCCTTGCCGCTCGGCATCGTCGCTGGTCTCGTTGGGTCCCAGGCGCGCAGGGGCATTGCGCGACGAGGTTGCCTCGTCGTATGTGGGGATGGGCGGTGGTGATGGCTCGCGGACGTAGCCATGCTTCTCGTCGCTCATGGCGAGCTAGTGGCAGGGAGAGGGTGTCGTCGTCGTACACGTGTTGCGCGAAGTCGTGGTAGGGGATGCTCGCCCGCGGCGAATGGTCCGCGAGAGCGAATGATGGGTAACTAGGTATGCGGATGCTTCAGAGAGTAATTGGTGACATGGGCTATCGATTGCGCATGTACATGGTGGACGGATCTAAGGAGTGACGGCAAAATATAGGAATACACGCAAGAAGAAAGTCGACGAGGGGCTACGTCTTGTCTGGATGTTGCGGCAGACTGGTGGCAGATGCATCTGGGGATAGCGGAGCGGAACACGCGCGCCGAGACCCTGTCCAAGATCCTTGGTAGTTGAAACCACGCCACTGTCTTTTGCGACTTCATCACCACAACAAGTGTTTGAGCTACGAGGGGAGTTGAGTTTGTCAAGTGTCGCACGACTCTTGTACTTTGTCTACATATTCCTGCCTCCAGTCACCTTGATCGTCTCTCCGTTCACATAGCTGAACAGCGGACTCGCCACGGCCAACACGGCACTCGCCGCCTCCGTCGCCGTACCAGGTCTCCTCAGCGGAATGTCCATGTGCTCCTGGCCCTGACCAGCACCCGCCTTCTGTGCCTGTGGTATACCCAGCGCTACCTTCTCGCCGTCGGGTGTCGTGATGAAGGCGCCAGCCTCCTTCGCCGCCGTCAAGCGCGTCTGAATATGGCCGAAAGCAACCGTGTTTGCGCGCACGCCGAATTGAGGGCCCCATCTGGACATTGTTAGGCGGGACATAGTAGGGGAAAGATGATAAGGACGTACTCTTTGGCAATTGTCTTGGTCATACCAGTAACACCTGCCTTGGCCAGCGCGTAATTGATCTGTCCCGCGTTGCCATTTACACCACTTGTGCTTGAGATGTTGATGATGTTCCTGGGCTCGCCGTCCTTGACCCTGAAGTACGGTGCTGCAGCCCTCACAATCTTGAATGGCGCTGTCGCGTGCAGGTCGACAATAGTGTGCCATTGCTTGTCCGTCATCTTGTGGATGACACCGTCCCATGTGTAGCCGGCATTGTTCACAATGATGTGGATCTTGCCGCCTCCAAACTCAGCGGCTTCAGAGATGAGCTTCTTGATGTAGGCATCGTCGAGCACGTCGCCTGCCACAGCTATGGCGCTGCCACCAGATTCGTTGATCTCTGCGGCTACAGAGCCCGCTTTTTCTGCGAGCTGTTAGCTGGTATTTGGAGATTCAAGATACTTGCATCAACCCACTAGCATCTACATCAGCAACTACAACCTTCGCACCCTCTTTCGCAAACAGCTTTGCAGCCTCAGCGCCAATTCCCTGTCCAGAACCTGTAATAATGGCAGTTTGGCCAGCCAACATACCCTTAGGGTAGTTGAGATGGCCTGCAATCTGGTCGATGCGCTTGGAGTAGGACATTATGCCTGTGAGATCGCTTGTACTATCAATGTAGATTAAGGACCGTAAAAATTTCACCAAAGAAGAGAGCTCAGTGTTTATGGACGCTCTTCCATGAAATGCGGAGTAAGTCAACCGCAACGACCGACATCATTACCTCAATATGCCGAGGTTCACAGCTAGCGCGTTTTGTGGCTGCCGTGGACGCGCTTTCCTAGATTTGGCTGACTCGACTTAAAGCACCATCATCAAACAACAAGCAACGGAGAAGAGTTGGCTAGATTTCGCGTCAAGTGTCATTCAGACAAAACTAAGTCCTTCTGGCTCCCTCTAACTGCAGATACGCCTGCTCGATCTCCTCCAGGTAGTCCTGTTCAATAGCCCTCCTCTGCACCACTTGCTTGAAATTAACCTTGAGCGGTTTCTCTTTCGTCGCGGCCATAACCGTCTCCCTCGGAATCCTGATTTCGTCGATATCGTTCTTGTTGGCGCCAGCAATTACGCTATCATACAGCTCATCAAGCAGCTGCGCCTCGCTCTTCTCATCCAATGCTCCCTCCTTTACTTGCACAATAACGTACGGCGCAGGACGACCCTCTCCGCCCACCACCACGTTCTGCACCTCCTTATGTTGCAGAATCCGGCTCTCAATGTCCTGGGCATGGAACTTCGCCAGCCAGTCCAACTTGGTCAAGTCATCTTTGCGAGCAGAGAATGCCCATCGTGTGCGACCGTCAGAGTCTTTGACAGGTCGGTACAGCTCCTTAGTTTCAATACGCTTCAAGTACCGATGTCCTGAGTTCCAGAAAGCTAGCTGGAAAGGGTTGGTACGACCATCCTCAGCATTCTCGAGGATAAGCTCGTGAAGATTGTCCAAGCCCTCCGTATCAAAAGGCACCATCTTATGACCATTCTCCGGAACGAAGTCGTGCGTGTACCAAAGGCTCCTATCCGCTGGTCGTAGATCAATCTGGTCTCCAGTCTCTGTAGATCCGATGACTGGGCTTAATCGCGTATGCTGATAGAGGTCGTCCCCAATCGCTCGGTCCAAGGGTGCGCCAATGTATACGACGAACTCCAGCGATTTCAAAATCTCTCTGGTTACTGGATCTTCGTAGAGGCCGGCAATAGTAAAGGGCGGACACTTCATGCCATCGATCTTGTTCATCGAAGTAATCTTCTTGAACAGGGCGGGAGTCAGGGTAACTTCGCCTCTGGGCATCATCACACATGGAGCATCGAGAAACACTGGCGCCATGATCATCGCATGCAGGCCGGCTACCCATTGCGGTGGACAAGGATTCAGAGCTGTCTTTCCGATCCAGCTTTCATACACGATGCCTCGAGGCCAGTGTCTTCGGCTAAGTATGGGTACGTTTCTCAGCGCGGACCACATCCCGTTGGTATGAAAGATGGGTTTAGGATCGCCTGAAGAAATATGAGCTTGTGGCTTTTGAATGCGTTCTGCTTGACTTACCAGTAGTACCGGATGTATGGATGATGACTATCTCATCCCATTTGGCCTCTTCAAAGGTTGTCTCATATGGGTAGCGCTCCTGCCCTTCATTGTCGAGCATCCACTCCAATGACGGCACTGCACATAATTTCAAGCTCGACTCCGGTTTAACCAATGGTCCTGCAGGATCATCTGTTGCATAGAGCCAAACTTTGCAGTTGGTCAACGCCACCAATCCCGCCAGCCCCTCGTTGGTCACACGGCCATCTGGAACCAGTAACTACAAGAGTCGTCAGTCAAAAACTCACATTCTAAAAATCAACACTTACCTTGCGTCGACTTTTAGCAATCGCCGGTACCAGGATGGCATATCGGGGATCGTTCGGCCCAAAGTAAGCAACCGTTTCGCGATCTACCGCCTTTCCAAGCTGCTCGTCAAACCAGAAAGCCATCTTGTCGATGGCGTTGGCATACTGCTTCCACGTAATTGTTTTGTAACCATCCTGCTCCCAGTCTTCCAACGCGTATCTCATGAACATGTTGCTTGGTATCCATCTCGCCTTCTCTTCGATAGCATGCACTATGAGTTGGTCCGAAGGATGCTCTACTCCGTTCTCTGCTATAGAACCCATAATGTTGTATTGAAGATAAGACAAATTGCAATGGTACAGAGCAAAGTCCGAACGCAGATTCCGGTGCAGATGCACCTTGATATACTCACAATCGTTCACACCTCATTTGATCATTGTCAGCATCGTGTAAATACCGGCAGAATAGCCAGCTAAGTCAGTAAGCACAGCCTTAGCTTCTGATCTGCTCAAACGTATCAGCTTACGCGATTCTGTACGTCTTTCTCCGATTGTTTGTGTTACCTTGATCTGAGATTGTGTGACTTCCGCATTCAGCTAGTGCTGAGCTCATCAACTACGTCGACCTTTCATACACAGGCCGTGTTTGTATGCTTGTATTGGCAAAAGGTAGCGTAGAAAACAATCTAACTTGCATTATGGCATGTCAGCACTTGATAACGCCATGCATAAAGAGGAGAAGCTCATTTTCATACAAGACGCCCCGTTGATGACGGAGAGGCAGCTAGATGACCAGTGGCTCACGGCTTGTCTACGTGTTTCTCCCTTACGCCCCGTTGACAAAGACGAATTTGGAGTTGCGAGCACAATTTTCAGAACATCAGGCTCAGAATTACGTCAAATATTGTATTCACGTCTATATCGTGTTTGTCTGAAAGGACCCGTTCCCAATTCGTCGAACCAGACTTCTCTGGGCAGGCTCATACCTTGGTCTCAACCTCAACATTGTCTATCTTCTTCTCTTGGCGACACTGCTCTTCCGCAATCACATCCGCAGGGATGCGGTCTGGTGTTGAATTCACCAGTACCAGCATCGGGCCTAGAGCAAGAGCCATCAACGCGAATGTGACGCAGAATCCGATTAGAGGCGATGTCTTGATCTGCGTGTTCATGCCGTACGAGATGGCTTGTCCGATGGCCTCAAGACAGCGGAAAGCTGCACCATTGCGTACGTTGGCTATATCTTGTCAGTCTCTGATCTGTTAGAGCTACTAGGTAATGAGGCATACCTTGAGCGTCTGTTGCAAAAGAAGACAGCAACCAGTACATATACGACTGTGACAAAGGACCGGTGGTTTGAACAAAGAAGTACGGCAAGAAGGAACGCGCATACAACGAATCGTCCCAATCGATCTTTCCGGGGTTATTGCTGTTGAAACGAGCTTGCATGACAATCGACCAAATGTACACGCCAAGGTTGAGGAGCACGACCGTGAAGAGACCAATCTGTGCGCGACGTCGTTGACTGACACCCTTGAGATCAAGTATGAAGCCCAAACCGAAGCATCCAACGATGCAAAAGAAAGGCGAGATAAGGGAGGAGAGTGCGCGGGCGCGGACGCTGAAGTAGGTACCAAGATAGGTGGACCATGTACCACTAACGCCTTATCAGCAGGTGTTCATGTCAGTATCTGGCAAGATTGACGAACCTGTAGAAGAAAGACCATATAGCCCAGAAAGCAGATAGTAGGATCAGCTTTGAGGTCATAGTTATCTTGATCTGTTTGAATTCCATCTTGGTACCAATTTTCTCGGATACTAGGATACGCGTTCCGTCCGAGCGTACGACTCGTTCAAGAGGGGATATGAGGAAGGCAAAGGGCAAGGCCATGCATTCGATAATCAAGAAAGCGACATATGTATCGGGTGTTACACCACCGACTACACCTTTCTCGTGATTTTTCGACAGACTGTAGGGCTAAGGTCAGCTATCGCTGTGTAGGTTCCACATCGAGAAGACTCACTTGATAGCACCGCCGACTAGCTGCCCCAAGTTTCGAGCAACGATCCAAAGAGCTAAGTATTTGCCACGAGATCCGGATGGTGCAAGAGACATAATGGTGCCCGACTCAGCTACACTAAATACAGAGGTACTAAGTCAGTGTATGGCTTACATGTAATTCTTACAGAGACACTTACTACCAAGTGCCGGTGCCAATGCCAGTGAAGAAGCCACCTAAAATCAGGTACCACTGGTTTCCAAACTTGGAATTGCAGTAGTATGAAGAGCCTCGAATTGGAAACGAGCAAGCACCGATGACCAATGCCCACTTTGTTCCCAGTTTGTTAACGATGGGTCCACCGAGGGCACAGCAGACAGCCAGCATTGTGTAGTTGACAGCCGTCGCAATGTTCGAGGTTTGAGGAGTTGCGAGACCACCTCCACCGAGACCTGAAACCTTCTTAGCTTAAATCACTACATTTGGTGCATCGATAGGAAGCTTACCGGCGATAGCATCAGCCATGGCAGGGCCACAGAAAGCCTGCACACTGAGTAACATCATTTGTGTCAAACTGTGTTGCCAGATTCTCTTCCATCTTGGCACTGTCCTAGCATACTCTTCCATGTTGACTCTTTCATCGGCTACCTCATACGTGGGAGGAGCGTTGAGCGGATCGCTGCCCTTTGTGCGAAGGGCGTCGTCATTACCACCAGCATGTGTATTTGGAGGGGCAGCGTCGAATTTGGACATCTCAGAAGACTCTTATTGGCAAGACCGGAAATGAATAGAGACAGATGTGAGCTGAGCTCCGAGCTGAAGTGAAACCAAAAGCATAGCACGCGAGCTTTATATATACCACATCCCCTCACACATATCTCCCACCTGCTGTCTATCCACGCATCTAGCATCCCGGCTTATCTGTGGATTTCGGGCCTACATTACCCCAAGCTGGGGTAAAGCGAGTCGTTCCCGCCGATGGGTCCAGCTGATAGCGACTTGTGGAGTCGATGGCTCCGGTGGCAGATGGGTGTCCGAGGGAGAGGGCAGTCTGGGTGAGAATGCAGGCTAGGCTGAACATGGAAGTGCGAACAGTCGGGAAAAGTGGAGGCTCTAAGCTAGGATAGTTAAGGGATGGCAAGCACGCGCTAGACATGGAACGTAGGCTTTGCAAGGCTTAGATATCGGGTTGCTACGCTTGGGTTACAGCATGCGAGTCAGACGCAAGATGCTCCGCGGGTTGAGTACTGCGCTCGTAACAGTTCGGGGTTGTTGATATCGCAGTGCAGCTGTATCGACCCATTTCTGCTATCGCGATGCAAAGTTTCAAGGAAGACCAGCATTTGCTCGGTGCGCAAGCTGGGTGGGAACAGAGATAGCCGCGGCTTTACGCACCACTGACGCCCGCCAGCCTAACCCTGTTTGGACACTGTAACAGTCGGGATCGCCAAGCGAGGAGGGCCGGCGATACTTGGGACGGCAGGCCTCAATTACTTAATCGAAACTTCCTGAGTTCGCATCTGGCGCGTGCGAGATGGGTCGCCATCGTATCATTCTAACGGTGGCGTGTGCAGCCTTGATCGATACTTAACCGGCGGGATAACATCGTGGGTCGGTACTGATAACGACTTCCGGCATCGCTCTTTGACACTCCAGTACGCGAGAAGTCTCAAGCGTGATAGACATTGTTACTCCAACATGGCACCTACGAGGGCCAATACTTCCGTCATCGTAGTGGGTGGTGGCGGTACCATTGGGTCTTCAACAGCCCTTCATCTTGTACGCACAGGATACACACCATCGAATATCACAGTTCTGGACACTTACCCGATCCCATCATCCCAATCAGCTGGCAATGACTTGAACAAAATCATGGGCATCCGCTTGCGGAACAAGGTGGATTTGCAGCTGAGCTTAGAGGCAAGGCAGATGTGGACAGAAGACGATTTGTTTAAAGAGTACTTTCACAAGACCGGGCGGGTGAGTGACAACACGTAAAAAACGTATGAGCAGACTCAAGGCTAACGGATCTGATAGCTTGACTGCGCGCATGGCGAGAAAGGACTTGCGGATCTCAAACAAGCTTACCAGGCCCTGCTCGATGCGAACGCTGGTCTGGAGGCGACTACAGAATGGCTAGACTCGGAGGATAAGATCCTCGAGAAGATGCCGCTTCTCGATCGCGAACAGATCAAGGGATGGAAAGCCGTCTTTAGTCAAGACGGCGGATGGCTCGCAGCAGCAAAAGCCATCAACGCTATCGGTGGATTTCTGCGCGATAAAGGCGTCAAGTTTGGCTTTGGCGGAGCAGGCTCTTTCAAACAACCTCTTCTTGCCGAGGGCGTTTGTATCGGCGTTGAGACGGTCGACGGAACAAAATACTATGCTGACAAGGTGGTTTTGGCGGCTGGTGCATGGAGTCCTACATTGGTTGATCTTCAAGACCAATGTGTGTCGAAGGTATATTGCTGCAACTCAATCATTAAACACGCACATCTAACATGTAAAGGCCTGGGTATACGCTCACATTCAACTGTCTCCGAGTGAGGCCGCAGAATACAAGAACGTTCCCGTAGTCTACAATGGCGACGTGGGCTTCTTCTTCGAGCCCGATGAACACGGCGTCATCAAAGTCTGTGACGAGTTTCCAGGTTTTACGCGCTTCAAGCAGCATCAACCTTTTGGCACATCTTCTCCAAAACTTATTTCTGTACCTAGATCTGCCGCAAAACACCCTTCAGATACCTACCCGGACGCCTCGGAGGTCAGTATCCGCAAGGCTATCGCAACGTTTCTGCCCAAATTTACCGAGAAGGAACTGTTCAACAGGCATCTGTGTTGGTGTACCGATACAGCAGATGCAGCACTGTTGATGTGTGAACATCCTGAGTGGAAGAACTTTATTCTGGCCACGGGTGACAGTGGGTAAGTCTTGGTTCTGTTGTACTGAACGTTTCCACACGTTGCTAATACCATGTGTAGTCACACCTTCAAGCTTCTACCTAACATTGGTAAGCATGTGGTCGAGCTGCTAGAAGGTAAATTATCAGATGACCTAGCACATGCATGGAGATGGCGCCCAGGCACTGGCGACGCGCTGAAGTCACGAAGGGCGGCGCGTGCCAAGGATTTAGCGGATATGCCAGGATGGAACCATGATAGTGAAGCGCCCAGAGCGAAGCTGTAGTTTCAGCTCAGATGGTATTACCCTAGTGCTGTGGTGATTCATGATAATCCTACAATTGTCCTGGGCGTGCCAGTATCTTCGATTTGAGGAAATAAATAAGTGTTCGCTACCAGATCTAGACCCTGAGGTTTTCCATCTGCCACTGCGGTACCACTACCACATAATCACAAGCTCGCTGTAGCAGCCCCTGTGGCCTTGCGACTGTTCCGGGTGTAGAACTCAAGGTTCTTTCGCATGATCTTCAGTGTCTACACACATTCTTAGTTCACTCTCTATACAAGTTCTGAGCTTCTTACTCGTTTGCACCGCTGCCGAAGCAGTCCTCGTGGTACGCTTTTGACTTCTCTGGCTTTCATGTCGAGCCATTCTTCAGGTTTACCTGCTGTGAGATAGTGGTTGAGTTGTTCGGAAAAGATGTCAGTATCATCGTCTTCGGTGGTGCTGAAGAAGTCGTAACCCAGGACTTTGATGTCTATGTTGGCTTCGCGAAGTGTCATGAACACTGGCTTGATGACTTCGAGAGCCTGGTAGAACGCAAGGCTCCATTGCATGCCCGCTTCCAAATAAATCTCGATGCTGATGTTTTGATGATCTTTGAACACGAGCAGGCTGTTCATGCTGTCGTTGAGAGCTTCACAAGCTATCCTTGTACCTTGGCAGATAGTCCCAGCGCTCTCATCAATCGTCATCACAAGGCGCCGAATTTCGTTCTTGACCACGAATGTCATGGGACCAAAGCGGTTGCGTTCAAGATTGGCACGTACGTAACGGTAGTCAAGTTCCGCACTTGACAAGACTCTGAAGTACCGAGTCGCAGCTTCAGATGCGAATTCTAGGCCAACGAATGTGACGTTCGCGAAACGCGGCACAGGCAGCTCTGGTGCGTTGATGACAGCTTCATCTGAGAAATAGTGCCGAGGAACAAACGAGATAGCCTTATCCATGCTCTCGACGTGCTCTCCTGCCCAGAGATAATCGTAGACATGGTCTCGAAGCTCGCGAGGAAGCTTGGCGAGAATGATTGCTGTAAGCGATGAACATAGCTGCAGATCGGCGCAAGCCGTCGCGATACGATCAACCGAATAGCTGGCGGCTTCTAGATCTCTTACGAGATTACAGAGCTCGGTATCTTTGTCCATAATATATTTGAGTTTAGCGTGTCTGAGCTGTTCCTCTTCGTCTGCAGTGTCATCGAACTCGTATTCGAAATCGAAGTCCCAGCGAGACATAAAGTCCCATTCACCAGGCCCTCTCGCAGATTCCTCGAGCAGATTCCGCCTAGCCTCGACTTCTTGTTGAGCTTTGTTGTAGTCCGCTATGAGCAGCCTCCCTTCGTCGTAGAGATCAACGACCCGAGCGCTATCCTCGCAGCTCAGGCCCCAGAACCGACGGTCTGTAGCTGGATTTGGCACGCTACAAAGTTTTAGTAAGATGTCGTATATCAAGCGGGATGTAATCATACGTGCGCCGTCGTTTCGCTGCTGTGAGGTCGGAGCGATTCGGATCTGACCTAGCCGTACGCTTCATCTTGTAGCACAACATATGACAATGATAAAAGACAAAGTGAGAGAAGAAGAAACTGGAGGGCGTGATGGTATCTGTTGACTGTCGTCCATCCTAGTTACGAATCAGGCACCAGGGCGATGTGATTGGCTCGGGAGCTGCTACAGCCTGCCACAACTGCGATTCACATTGTGTACAGCCAATGGGTTGTCGAGGGCATGTTGATAAAATCTAAAAATCTCGTGACCATCTGCAGTGTTTACCTAGGCCAACTTTCCAGGACGATGAACGAGATCAGGTGCGACGCAGACGGCAACGCCTCTTTCGGTTTAGCTGGGAGAGGCTTATAGGCCCTACGTCATGCACGATATGGAGGACTCCGGCGCGACTCCACTGGAGCCACTCAAATAACCAGCTTTCAACAATACTCATGTGAGCCCACACCGACAATGCGCCGCTACATGCATGATCATTTTGCCATTGCCAGTCTGCGAGGACCCGACCTGACATCGTGCATCGCGAAACGCCGTCGATAACATCTCATCCATCGTCGGACGGATCCAACACGAAACCGGGATAGCTACGCTTGCCAATAGTGGAGCTACCACAGCCATCGCGTGAGCGCGCATACCATTGCGACCACGACTCTGAACCACGATATGGCGCAACAATTTCTTGCCGACCGCAATGGCTGGCTGTCGTTTAGGAGCAGCACGCCTGTGCTGTACATCACCGCCGAAGACACCGAGTTCGACATCGAGACGATGAAGGCATGGCGCGACGAAGGCTTCATTGTGGAATACATACCCTTCGGAAAAGGCGGGAAGCAATATGTGCAAACGCTTCATAAACTAGGCGACAAGATGGGCATTGGGGAACGGTACGCCATCGTAGGTATACAAGCCCCTCACAGCCTGGCGCATGTCATGCGCCTAATCACCGGCCGAAACACGTACTGACTGTATCTGTCCAGCCTTCGGTGACGCTGCAGCCGTGTGTCTAGACGTTTTCTCGGAACCCAAAACAGCCACCTCGAAACTCTGCTCCCTCATCGCTTACTACCCAACATCCATCCCCGATACGCGACATCGCTTTACATCCTCTTTTCGCGTGCTCGTGCATCTTGCTGAGGGAACATCCGGCAACGACAATACCGTAGGCGTTACGCGTCGCCCAGAAGTCCTGGGTATACAGGGCAAGCGGAAAACGGTACAGAAGCGTGTTACACCTGGCATAGGCGCAGGAGGCTTACAGGACAAAATCTTGTATCCTTGCTTTACATACGAAGGTGTGGATGCAGGGTTTGCAGAGCATGACCTGGATGAGTACGATGCCGTCGCTGATGCGCTCGCCTGGAGTAGAAGTTTGAGTACAGTTCGTCGGGGTTTCAGTGCCGAAGTGGATTTGGAGCGGGTACTGGAGGAGAACGAAGAACGTGCGTATAGTCACCCCTTGCCTTCATTCGTATGAAAGTTGACACCAAGCAGAAAAGTACCGTCCCAAATCCCTCGATAAACTCCTAGAAACCTACACTAAAAAGCCTACGCCTTACATAAACTTCACACCAACCATGACTGGTGGAAGCGGACTTCCGGACTTGAAGCGCTTTTACCGTGACTACTTCCTCAAAACCTCTCCACCATCGATGCACATGCGGCTCATCTCGCGCACAGTCGGCGTCGACCAAATCGTAGACGAACTCTACATACAATTCAAGCATACCTGCCAAATGCCGTGGATCCTTCCTGGCGTTGAGCCCACGAACCAGAAAGTTGAGATAGTGGTGGTGAGCATTGTAGGCTTCAGAGCGGGCAAGATATGGTCCGAGAGGGTGTACTGGGACCAAGCTTCTGTACTGTTCCAGGTCGGTCTTCTTGACCCCGAAGAGGTGCCAAAAGATTTCAAGAAGACAGATGACGAAGATGGTGGACTGGAGATGCTACCTGTTAGTGGAAGTGAGGCTGCCAGGAAAGTCATGGATGTGGAGAGTGAAGAGTTTAATGATATGATTGACGATTGGTAGGAAGCAATGACGGATAGTTTAGGCTTTTTTTTTGAGAGTTTGCGTAGAGGTATCGAAGCGATGGTGTTAATTACGCTGTACACAGTGAATACAGGCTTTTAGGGAACATACTGTCACCACGATATGATACAGCGTTACTCAACTGCGTCATACCCGCGTTTTGGTACCAGCATGTCGATTAGACCAATGGCGTTGAGGTATTGTGACAGCGGACAGGATTTAGAAGAAAATGTTCTCTCGAAAAAAAGAAACGCTTCATTTATAAGTCTCTAGAACGCTAATATCCGATTGTACTTAAGGAAACTCTGGGCGAACGAACACATGGCGAACTATGTTCGTAGTTGAAAGATTCCGTCCTAGCCCATTTGACTCGTAACACTAGAGAGCGAAAATTCGGAAACTCGTGATGTAGCGACGCAACTGCCGAAGAGAACGTGTTGGAATAAGACGAACGATGTCGTATATGAAAACGAATCCGACTTGGGAAGCAACACCACGAAACAGATGCTTGGAGCCCATCCAGCCCCGTGACACCGTAGGAATCCTATGGACTCACATCGACTTCGGACATCAGTGATGGAATAGAAGGCGGGTCTACACGTCCAGGTACCTCCGTATATCCAGTCTCTTTGTTCAGTGGAATTGGGCGCGCGGAGTTTGCGGTTCTGTACCGTAGACCGAGGATGTTCTGTTCATCGAACTGCGGGAGAGACGATTACTTGCACGCCCTCGCGTGGTAGTAATGTTTCTGACAGCATTCCCAGTCGCAGCCGAATCAATGGATAAGCGAGCCTCCCCTCGGTTTCGACGTGTTTGCTGCCAGTCGTTCATGATACTATGCATCGAGAGAGGACGAGAAGATCCTGAGCCACGACGATCTCTTTGCAAGCTCTCGATGAACAGTTGATGTGGTGTAGGAGCCATAGTCATTCGTTCAACAGCGGTATCAGCGTCCGAAAGATTCGTTTCGCTCATGCTGAATGGCCGACTATCTAGAGTATGGGTACTTCCCCGGAAGGTATCCCAGTATTCATTAGTTCCGAAGATGTTTCCAACATAGGCCAAGGCAGAGTGACGTCTAACAAGTGGTCGAAGCAAGAGCAAGTCCTCAGAAGCGTTAGCTTGAGTTCCGACATCACTCATCACAGGAAGACTGGCCAAGGTGGTAGATCCCGTGTATCGAGCTTTAAATTCTGTCAATTGCCTGCGGCCCCAATCGAAGCGCTCGCATGGAGGTAGAGCCTGGATGGCCTGGCGGTCGACCGCTTTGAGCGCAGCTAGCGCACCCGCAGCGGTAGTTGACGAAGTGCAGACATCAGGGTAACCTTCGCTGAATTCGGCATCATGATCTAAGTGAGCGTCCGTTAGATCTGCCTGAGCTGGCGAAAGTGCTATGGTAGGCGCCTGAACCTGGCTATGGTCGCCTCGAGTGGGATGATCCTCGCTTGGGAGCAATGGCTTGTCGGTACTGACTTGTGACGTGCGGAAATTTGCTGCAACCTTCCTTTTGAGACGAAGAAAGCTCTTCCGGCCCTTGGATACCACAAGTTTGCCAATGTTCGTATACTTCTTGCTGAGGCTTTGTGCTCGGACCGCACCACTAAATCCGGAAGAGTCTGGCTTGGATTCGCTGCCCACAGCTGCTGAGTGCCGTTGGATATGACTACGGGCAGTCGAGCGCACGGATGTCTCCCGTGATGGACTGACTGATGCGACTTCTGGGATGGCCGTAAGAGTGGGATGCAATGCGGCAATAGGGTTGGTGGCCTTGATGATATTGACTAGGGTGCTGTGGAATTCGGTCTCAGCTTCGAGCGACTCCCGATCTAGGCTCTTCGTAGAAAGAAGAGATAATCGCCTGCTATTGCCTTTCCCGAAGGCTAACCACAACTTCTTACACTTATCGCAGCGGACGTCACCGACCTCAGTAGAGTCGCCTGATACACGAACACGCACCTGCACAGAATTGTGGTGGTGGTGACAGCTCGAACAATTGCCGCTGAGGTTCAGTGCCCAATAGCCTTCAGACAATCGATTTGCACTTCCGGTAGACGATGCAGTGTCATGTCTGGCGAGCTCGTCCGTGTGAAGGGGAGCCGCTGTAAATCCAAGGCTGTTGGAAGATCCACCTGGGATGACTGAGGGAGCCTGAGAGTCCATCTCTAACGAACGTTTCCCGGTTGTCGGCCGTTGCTAAGCAATGAATCGAGTTCCGCGACTGTATTGCCCCAGACAATGCTTCGCTTGATGCATGAGATGGTCCGGTCAGAGAAAAGAGTAAATAAACGGCAGACAGAAAGATTCTTTTAGGAACGGGTATGTCCTCAGGCTGTGTGGAGGAAGAGTGATTGGTAGGGATAGGTTGTGGCGGCGCTATCAAGTACTCGTTCTGTCCACGGGTGATAAGAACCTTTAACAACCAGGCCTATATGTGGATATAAGGCAGCTACACCGACTGATAGTTTGCGCCTGATTTTAGGCATCATGAATTCTAGCAAATGACTTGGACGTGAGGAGAACTGTTGAGGCCAAAATTGTGGCGCAGCTGTCCTAGAGAAGTTTCGCGCCCTCACGAACCTGTGGAGGCTGACAGAGATGTGGCTGGAATCATGGCATCGTGACAACAAGGACTGCATAAGATGAACTGGGAAAGAACAAATGACGTACCGGTTGAATCACAGGCAACAACTTGGGGTCGAGCGGGTGAAGAGATGCATCGCTAGACACCCTGTGATACTAGTGCACAGCCACAGGCTCATAGCCACAGCATCCTGTCTGCAGAGCTATGGCGACATGAGCGGTGAAGCAGGACGTCATGTGCAAGGAGTTTAACTGCGAGTCGAAACGATTGCGCAGAGTCGCAGAGACTGGGTGAATACAAAGAGGGGAGTTGCGACGGGTGGAGCGACGGATATGGTTAGCGTCAGCACTAGTGCCGCTCCCACCACTTGCTTAAGCGAATTTCAGCATTTCAGATCCCGCCGTTTTGACTTCCAGAGCATCGACAACACCACATCGACGACGTACGACAAGCCGCCATCATGTGTGAGTATACCCGGATACTGTCGACTTGCATCACTTGTTGCGACCCTGGCATTATTCGCGCCGAGTGCGCCTCCCCCAGCGCGCGGAGTGGGGTCGCAATGATCGATGTCGAGACACTCCAAGTAGAGACATGCTGACAATGTTACAGCGCTCGTCTCCGGAGAGAAGTCCAAGTACGTACAGACTACAGCCTGAAGATTCCTGTCCGGTCCACTGCCTTCGCTTCGATACGCCTGGTCCGATTCAAGCCGCACAACATCGCGATTCGCCATTCCAGTCCAGCAGCAATCCGAGGATAGAGAGGATAGAACGATGAATGGATGCAACAAGTGTTGTAAGAAGATTATGGGAACCAAACACGAAGAGAGGATTTCGACATGCTGTTCGGACTGAAGTGGCCAATCGAGGTAGCGGATGGCTTTCGACTGCGGAGATCTACGCACAGGGGCGATACAGAATCGGAGGCACAATTGTATGACCAGAGCAGTGCTGACTTTACCAGCTTCCAATACATCATCCGTTTGTTGAACACAAACGTCGATGGAAAGCAGAAGGTCATGTACGCCTTGACCAAGATCACTGGTGTCGGTCGCCGATACTCCAACTTGGTCTGCAAGAAGGCCGATGTCGATCTGACCAAGCGCGCTGGTGACCTCACCTCCGAAGAGCTTGAGCGTATCGTTACCATCATCCAGAACCCTCTCCAGTGTACGCAATGGCAGTTTCCGTAGCAAAGGTCCCACACTGACACCCCACAGACAAGATTCCTTCCTGGTTCCTCAACAGGCAGCGTGATATCGTCGATGGCAAGAACAGCCAGGTCCTCGCCAACGGTGTCGCCTCCAAGCTCCGTGACGATCTCGAGCGCTTGAAGAAGATCCGCGCTCACCGTGGTCTCCGTCACTACTGGGGCCTCCGTGTCCGCGGTCAGCACTCAAAGACCACCGGTCGCCGCGGTCGAACCGTCGGTGTCTCCAAGAAGAAGGGTTAAAGGTTTTCGCTTGCGCTGGGCAGCTGGGGCTGGAACATGCCTTTACGAAATGGGTGGTGCACTTACGGTGTTTATCAAACGGCTTTCATTGGCTTTCACGCTTACACTTCATGCGGCAATGCACGATATGGAGTGAGGTGGTGCGGCACGGTTAGGGTTGGCCGAATACAGCCTGTACCAAAATCACACATTCAAATTTCGACTTGTTCCAACATGACGTGTGCTCGCTTTCGACAGTCGATGGGCCGTGTTGGCCATCTCGGGGGAATGGCTGTATGGTGCCTAGATAGGCCTAGTAATTGGTGATGAAGGACTAACGTCGCATATGCGGCCATACTTCGCCCACCACGTCACACCACCACCACGCTTGTTAGTACCTCGGTGCGCACTATGTTTCCTGACTACCGCTTCTTGATTTTGGTAAGCAGAGCTATCGGCTCGGTCCGCTAAAGGTGTCTAGGTTGGTTCCGTTTGATCCCACAAGCATGCACAACAACAACGAACGTGGATCGAAGCTGCGATCGGTGGCGGCTGTCGCGCGCAAAATGTTCTCCTGAGGTTCACACATATTTAACTAATTATGTCGGTCCTTTGTGACCTATCTGGTTGATAGATCAAGCGCCAAGTGTGGAGTGCGCTGTCCCACGCATCCTGCAACAAATCGACCTCTCCCGATCATCGGCATCTGCAGTATCATTGTCTCCTGTTCGTCGGAGCTCCCGTATTCCCCGCAGTTTACGCCTTTCTCAAAGGAGGGAACTCGGAAGGCATGTGACTTCCTTGTATGGTGCCGAATTCGTGGCATGGTTGCATATTCGATATGCAGGGCTAGCGAAACGGCCGCATGTCTGAGGTGACTACTGTGGATATAACCCTTACTGATGGTACCGACACTCGTTAGGCCGGTGGAAGGCCTCTTCGTTGCGTTTTCTCCTTTCGTCTGGATTTTTTTCATCCGGCCGCAGTCACTGCCCCGTCATGGCACCACTCATAGCACTACCACGTACTCCTTCGCCAAGAGTGCGCATACGATCACAATCATTCGACTCACCATCATTGCGTATCAGTAGTTCTCCTACGGAGGAATCGCCGCTGTCAAAGTCCACTGGCTCGCTCATCACACTTTCAAGCTACGATGCCATTAAAGCTGCGGCACAGGGAGCAATGCGCTCCATTCAAATGCTACTCCCCCTGAACACCAAGATGAGCGATGAATCCATTCTCTCCGATGCATCTAGTGCCGCTTCTTCAGCGACAAGTTCTCCAAGCTCGGCTGGGAGCGAGACAGAATTTTTCTCAAACCCACCACCACCATCGCACTCGTCGCGACGTCGTCGTCCACGTCCTCACCCCCTATCGTTCGCACAGCAGACCAGTCGTGAGGATGATGTTGTCGCTGAACCAACTTCCCCGTTTCTCTACCAAGACACCAGTTGTCCGATGTACTCGCCGTGGCTAGTTCGCGTAGTACTGGATATGTACGATGTCAGAGGTCTAGATTGGATGGCGATTGCGGATCCGATTGAGCGGGTGTGGGGAGTGCAGACGAGTAGTGCTGACGTGCTTGGGATATTGAGCGACAATGGGCGTGTGCCTAATCGTCGGTGGTGGGATTGAGGTAGTGACTGAGAATGTCGCTATAAGGATGCGTCCGGCGAGCTGAATGTGTGTCTGAGATGGGCCGGCACGGCTTCGACGACAATCTGGTGTTACAAGCTTTTCTTTTTGCTCTCTGTCTTTTGGATGTTTGTTCTGTGGACATTCCTTTTTGGCGACTTTCTTGTTTCACAGCATGGGTTAGATACGGCATTCACACGGTAACGATAATGACTCAGGACTCATGATCACGAAGCATACGACGAAAACAGACGCAAGCAACGAGAAAGCACGACTCAACGACCCTTTTCACAACTTTCGATCAGCATACATGTGTATACTACTGCCATGAAATGAAACTCTTTTGCGCGTTCACGAAGCAATCCTGTCTGATCATTACAAATACCGATCCGTGACTACTATCGCTCCCCACTGCTACACAAAATCTCCCAACCCCTCAGCCCCGAAGCTTTGTTGCCCAAATCTCAATCTTGACTACCCCACGTTACTTACATGCACGAATATGCGAGGCTATGCAGGTCGGAAACAGCTGTCCCGCAACGAGTGGCTCTGTGCTGATGCATCGGAACCGTTGCAGGTAGCACTGCATTGGTGGAGGATTTAAAGTGGTAATACGCCAGAACGAATAAAGGGAGAAGTCGTGGTGCTTCATGTGAGGCTGACGGTTATGCATAGAGTTGTGAACTGGGCCGGATTGTTGTGCATGGACATATAGGCAGCTGATTATGCGCTCGCTTCACTGTATACGTATAGCAGAATACGTTCTAGAGTAACGTCTAGCTATGAATCCGCATTTCTCCATGGCACCGACGCTATGGCAGGGGGCAGTATAAAGCTCCGCCAGGGCAAGCATGGTGGAACTGGTCCAGAAGCGGTCTTTTGTGGGGTTGAGGACATGTTCGCAAAGACCATGCTCATCTTGTTCCTTGCCGTTCATGAATGCAAGTGCTTCATCCTCAAGAGACACAGGGATTTGTCCTGCGAAAGGTAGCTTCCGTCCTAATGCTGCCGCACGCGAGGGCGAGTGTCCTGCGCGATGCGTGCTTGTAAGACGTGTCACCACTCAGTCGTCGGCACCGACAGCCATCTCGAGAACTTCGACATTGCCTCTTCCCTTTGTCTGGCCCTCGATGAGCTCGTTTAATCCCTTGAAGGCTCCAGGCTCGACGAGACCGACTGCCTCCCATTCAGCGCCTATTGTCTCTTGGCTCTCAATGTTCTCCATGAATCCCAGTATCGCATCCTTGACAGTGCCGGTAGTTCCCTTCTCCTCGGTGCCTGCTTGCGCCTTGGGGGCGGTCTTTATGGCTTGCTTCAGAACGGATGTCGGACAGGTAACGCGCAACTTCATCTGCATACGGGCGACGGGTATCGGCTGGTGGGCTATAAGGGCCTTCATAGCGAACAGTGCCTGCGACTTGGCCGACTTGTTTGTGACGATGCCGGACCACTTGGGCAGTTCTTTCGCTTTGCCCTTGTCCTCACCGTCCTCCTTGTTCTCACTCTTGTCCCCTTGTTGCGTCGCCGCTGCCGAGCTTAATTGGTCCAGAGCCTTCTCGATCATGCCCGTGGTATAGACACGCTTTGTTTTAGGATCCACAAGTTTCCCCGCCACGATATCGATGACCTCATTCTTGGTTCTCTCCAACTCAGCGTTGCGCTCCTTCTCGCCTACTTGCAGCTCGCCATGGTCCAGTATGTCGGTGATGATATCTTCAAGTGATTTCTTCGGGAAGGCCTTTTCGAGATCGGCTTTTGGTGCGACTTGGCCCTTTGATACGTTGAGGAAGACGTTCTCGATTTGCAGCACGTTGGACAGATCCTTCTCAATCTTGTTGCGCCACTCGAGGACTTTGTTCTTGTAGCATGCGATTTCGAAGCGCTTCTTGCCTGTGGGATGTTAGTTTGCGCAGGACATGAGGTTCTGGCGAGGTTTGCGCACCCTTCTTCATGCGCACCAGCGAAACATTGGTGAGCTTGATCTGGTTGGACGGCTGGTTGATTCCTACAGGCATCTTGAGTGATTACGGGTGTTGGTATGGGTATAATCGTAGTTGAACTGTAGATGTTGGGCGCAAGTAATAAAAGTTGCACGACATTTTGGTGGGGTCTGCGCGATGACATGCCTAGGTGCAGTCACTATGGGTGAAAGGCGCTAGCCCGGATTTGGACCATGCAGGTCCAGCTCTAGCTTCCCGAGGTGCGCAGACAGCTCGGCAGCAGGAACTCGCCACGGCTTCCGTGTCCAGACGGCGGGAATGAAGCTGCAAGCGTCATGATGTCTATGATAGCTGTCCACGGCCGGCGCGTGTCCTGCCACATGCGCCGATCACCGCTATCGTGAAACGCTAAGCCCATGTGATGCTGGAGCTCGGACGGGCCAGCCACTCTGATAAGCTGTTGGGATGCGTCATGCTCCGTTGCCTGGACAAGCCGCGCCTCCTCCACAAGAGCTACCCATAGCTCGACTTAACTAGACCCATCCCATCCCTCCTTCTCCATCCATCCCTCCTCTTGCCCATCCATCACCGCGTGCTTCTTCATTCATTTGTAGAGGTGCTCATCTTGTCTTCACTCATCTACCGCTATAGCTCCGGAAGCTTAGCACCGCCATCATGAAGGTCGCCGCATCGGCGCTGCTCGTTGGAGCCGCATCCGCCGCTGTTGCGCCTCAGCAGCAGCAGATCCTCAAGTTCCCTGACTCCTTCAGCGAGCTCAAGGAGTCGACGTCGTCATGGAGCAAGCCGCTCCAAAACCTCGAGGAGAGCCTCAAGTCGCTCACTGGCGAGGCTCGCGCCGTCTGGGACGAGGTCGCCATGATGTTCCCCGAGAGCTTTGAGAAGGCTGCTTTCTTCTCCCAGCCCAAGCCTCACACGCGCAAGCAGGACAGCGAATGGGACCACATCATCAAGGGCGCCGACATCCAGAGCGTCTGGGTCGAGAACGAGAAGGGCGAGAAGCAGCGCGAGATTGACGGCCAGCTCGAGCAGTACAGCTTGAGGGCCAAGAAGGTCGACCCCAGCGTGCTCGGGGTCGACAAGGTCAAGCAGTACTCTGGTTACCTCGACGACGACGAGGAGGACAAGCACCTCTTCTACTGTGAGTACCCGCATGGCCATCATACACACCCCTGTATCTAACACTTCGCAGGGTTCTTCGAGTCGCGAAATGACCCCAAGAACGACCCCGTTGTGCTCTGGCTCAATGGCGGACCCGGCTGCTCTTCGCTGACCGGCCTGTTCATGGAGCTCGGCCCGGCTTCCATCACAAAGGACCAGAAGGTCAAGCACAACCCCTACTCTTGGAATGCCAATGCTTCCGTCATCTTCCTCGACCAGCCCGTCAACGTCGGATACTCATACTCGAGCGGCTCTGTTAGCAACACTGTCGCTGCTGGCAAGGACATCTACGCCCTGCTTACCCTCTTCTTCAAGCAGTTCCCTGAGTACTCTCATCAGAGCTTCCACATCTCCGGAGAGTCATACGCCGGACATTACATCCCCGTCTTTGCCTCTGAGATTCTGTCCCACAAGAACCGCAACATCAACCTCCAGTCCGTCCTCATCGGTAACGGTCTGACAGATGGCCTTACTCAGTACGAGTACTACCGTCCCATGGCCTGCGGTGAGGGTGGCTGGCCCGCTGTTCTTGATGAGTCTCAGTGTCAGTCTATGGACAACGCCTACCCACGTTGCGCCAGCCTCATCGAGAACTGCTACAACTCCGAGTCTGTCTGGTCTTGCGTGCCTGCATCCATCTACTGCAACAACGCTATGATCGGTCCTTACCAACGCACTGGCCAGAACGTCTACGATGTTCGCAAGCCTTGTGGCAGCAACTCTCTCTGCTACGATGAGCTTGACTGGATACAGGGCTACCTTAACAAGAAGGAGGTCATGAAGGCCGTCGGCGCTGAAGTCTCCAACTACGAGTCTTGCAACTTCGACATCAACCGTAACTTCCTTCTCCAGGGTGACTGGATGAAGCCTTTCCACCGCGTCGTTCCCGGTATCCTTGAGAAGATCCCCGTCCTGATCTACGCTGGTGATGCCGACTACATCTGCAACTGGCTCGGCAACAAGGCCTGGACTGAGGCGCTTGAGTGGCCTGGTGCTAAGGACTACAAGAAGGCTCAGATGGAGGACTTCAAGATCGACGGTGACGGCAAGACTGTTGGTCAGGTCAAGTCCAGCGGTAACTTCACCTTCATGAGGCTTCATGCTGGTGGCCACATGGTCCCCTACGACCAGCCCGAGGCTTCGCTCGAGATGCTCAACAGGTGGTTGTCTGGTGACTTCTGGCAGTCGTAGAGGCTTTCTTTGCAGATTTTATAGGTTGAAATTGTCATTGAGGCATGTTATTATGCAGTGATTGGAACAGTTTCCGCTCGTTGCTTGCATCATACGGACTTTGTTGGCTTTTATATCGAATAGCAATCAACACAAAGAACAATTTTCCGTTCCCGTGATAACATCGTTTATGTGGCTTGTTGTCAAGTTCGTAACCCCTGATGACGAGCATATTCAATCGTTCTGTTGAATGAATGCTGTCAATGCCACAGTGCTCATTCAGAACTCTCTCAATGCGTACCAAGATACCAAGTCGTCATTCGTGCCTAGGTATCCGGAGTTAATGATGCATAGATACCTAATGACGCCCTTGGGCTGGGCAGGTATGTAACATCGGGTTTGCTCCACATTTCACCCAGTCTCATACTGAAGACTAACTGCGGATGTATGTGCCTGTGCCACAAATTATGATGAGTGTTGATAGCCAGATTTCGATCGTCTGCCTAGCAAATTATTATGGACGTACTAAATGCGTTGTAGAAAATGAGATCGAGATATGAGGACCGTCCTTGGGGTTGATACACGAATGGCTACTGCTGAAGCATGAACAGCTGTTGCTTCACTTGGGAACGACTTCGTGCCACAGCCTAGATATTCTATAATCGTTACAGCAATCAAGAAAGTCATTCACTCTGGCTCACTCTATCCTTACCCATATTCACTCTTCACTTCGATTGCAGTCGCAACTGGGAGTGCGCTAGAGGCTCCAGTGGTTGCCACCTGGACGTATATGCGCTTGCGCCGACTAACTTGGCCGTTCTCCTGTTGTTCCCCTAGTTTATATAAACTCTTCTTTCCTCTGACTAGTTCCTCAAACCTCACCACTGCACTTTCGTTCACGGTATAACTAGTCTCAACCAACATCAGCGAACGATAATTGCTCCAGAAACAAACCGATAGCAATCACTTAAGATGGCTGGAAACAGGAAGAAGAACAAAAATAAAGCTAACGCGAATGCAAATGAGAACATCAACTCTCGTAACAGGGAGAAAAAAGTCTCAAAGCAGTATGATTGAAAAGCGAGAGGACAACAAGGATAGAACCGTCGACCCACTCGATTCTTCTCCAGTATGGAGTGGGAAGGAGAACGGAGACAGGGCGCTTTGTGAAGCGGATGTCGTTGTTGATTCGTCCGAAGAACCCGCGGAATCCAGCCGAACCACAGAGCAAACGAACGATGTAGTTGCAGCCGAGCAAGGTAAGGATGATGTCTTGCATGGCGAGCTTTCGCAACCAGGGTGTGTTGTCAATGGGTCTGAGCGACTACCGACGACCACGCAATCCAGACTGGACTCCAGCAATGTCTCTTGTAATACCCGTGCTGAGGAGCGAGTTTCCAAAAACGGATGGTCCTTTGGAAGAGAAGGGGTTCAAGATGTCGCAATTTCCAAAGAAGAGCTAAGCAACGGGTTCCAGCGAACTCCCGAGGTTCAGGTATCCCAGGAAAGTGTGGAGATGACAGCAAGCGAAGTCCTGAAGAAAGACGTGGTGCCGATGACTGAGAACATCGCTCAAAATCCAGGTCTCGAGGATACAGCACTATCTGAGGATGATGACGGCAGCGTGTCATCGTCTCAACCTCAATCGCACCTGCAGCCGCCATCGGCACCTGCTAAGCAGCTCCTCGATGACCATAAGACTCCCTCCAGAGACCAGAGCTGCAGACCACAAGCATCAACCAAGTTGCCGACGCAGATACCGAAACTTGATGATCGACCAGCATTATCTGAGCAAGAAATTTTGAAACAGCCCACCATACAAGCAGCTCCGACTGAGTCGCACCTGCCCAGTAAACCCGAGGTTATCAGCCGAGATGAAAAAACTCAGATGCTCAGCCCCAAGTTCGAAGAGGTAGAGGCGCTCCGCAAGCGTTTTGTTAGACAGATTGAAGATCAAGAGCAGCGCTTCAAGCAGCGGGAACGAAAGCTTAATGCTGAGCGCGAGTTCCTAAATGACAACCTTGAGGCTACTCACGCAGAGATTACGCGTCTTGAGAGCCTCCAGGCTCTCCCTCAAACACTCAATCCTACCACTCGTGACCAAGGCACTCGTGACCAAGGCACTCAGACAGAGACATCTACTGGTTCACTAACCCAAGAGCCGAAGCTACAAGGCAGACCACCACTACTGCTTCACGGAATTCTAGAAAAGCCTAGCAATACGGCACCATCTTCAGTCAAGCCGCGAACCCAGGAGCAGAAGAGTTCAGACGCCAGGCGAGAATCACGGTTCCATGATACTCTCAAGTCACAAAACAGGGATCATAGTAAGAACATGGCGCAACCAGCGCAGGAGCAAAAGGAGGCAGAATTCGAGCGAAAGATCCACAGTCTGGCTCGGCAGGTTGCTGCGGAGGCTCAAGAACAGGTAACCCATTCCCCAAGGACTAATATACCTGCATGTAAGTGCCCTTGTATGAATTGCACTTGAGGCGTATACTGACTTTGTAAACCCACAAATAGTATCCAATCGAGTTCAATCGAGTACAGTACCTCCTGCTACAATACAGCCTTCGCCTATACTACGGCCTCGGGCACTATTAACGTAAGATCCCTATTACAGTCATCAGGAGTCATCCACTAATATCACCTAGCACTGCCGGTCGTTTTTTCAACTTAATCGTAAACAATAACGCTCGAGCATTTGTATCTAACCACGAACACATTCTCGCGACCAACACCGCCTACTTTACTTTGAACGCGAAAGAAGACCCTCGCACATCTTTTGGACGCAATTTCGGATGGTACGTCAATTTTAGTGGCGCACAGTTCTCCCTCGAAGTCATCAAAGAGTACACATGGTGGCTCAAAGACGGCATAATTCGTACCGTCTATTCTCTTGTCCGAGGTACTCACCCCAACGTCAATTTTGCCTTCCAATTCCTAGCCAGCGCCTATGTCTTTGGCGAGCATATTGATGACAGGCGTTGGATGAACGACGTCATGGATGCTTTCGTTAGTGCTCACAGTCGTGTTCGGCGCCTCAAGATGAGCTTAATTGTCCAGTACACGTACAAATTTACGAAGCACACATCGCCTATGCGTAGATTGTTGGCAGATATGTATGCGCATTGCCCGCAATCGACCGACATCGTGAACGTCAGTCCTAGGGAGCTACCGGCCGAGTTTGAAGTGGATGTTTTCCAAGCGTTGAATGAGCCGAGACTAGAAGTAGAAATTGGTGGGAACGTCTGGAAAATCCAAGTGTGTATCATGTATGAACGGCGAACTAGGGAGCCGGTAGGGATATGGACTTTCACAATGTCGATAATCTCGTAGTAGGGGTGGCGATACTATAGCATCATAAGACAAGATCGAACGTAGGTTTGTATCGGGAAGGAAACAGCAGATACGTTTTCGTAGATTAGCGCGACCTTGTCAAGATAGTTTGATCATATAAAGCGTACAACAGGAAGAACTTCCGTGTATTCGCACTGCCTCTGGTCAAAAGTTCTCGATTCCGCGAAGAAAATACCAGAATACACAAACCGCATGACATGCCTGAGTCGAACCTCCCATGCATGCGGGACATGCAATGGACCTTTGTTTATAGAAGCCAGGTGTCAAAAGGCTCACTCCGCTTCCGCTGTGCAGCCTCGAAGGAAACTTTAAACTCGTCGTCGCCGTCACCGTCGCCGTAGTTTCCCCAGACGATGAAGGAGGGGGTTTGTGGGGACCCCACCTTTTCCAGCTGTAGCGAAACTGGGTTGATGAGTGATCATAAGAGATAGTGACGTTGTTCGGTGTTATAGCAGAATATCGGAAGGAAACCAAGTCGGCGGTGGACATTACTGTAAATCAGTAGTGCGACCCGCTTTACCGGCGACTCTTTCCTTCCGACGCTGATCTAGGTTAGTGTAGCTGCTAGCGCTTGCCCGTCGCGACCTCTTCAGCAATTCCCGCCGCGACCTCCACTTTCCCCGGCAGTTTTTCCCTCAAGATGGTCTGCTTTGAAAAGACGTTTACCCAACTGGACGACAGCACCGCGCGGAACGACGCGAACCTAACTATGGGGAATCTGGGGTAGTACTGACACGCCCATGCGCGTTTTCTGGGGTCTCCGAGCACCCCATACAGTCACCGCGGCCTTTGAAGACGCGGAGACAGGCTTATGACGACGGCGACAGGGGTCTGAATGCTTGCGGAGCCATTTCAGCCTCTCAGAAACAGATTCCGCAGGTCAATGACACGCAACCTGACCTCAGGAGAGCAAGATTAAGATCCAGATATTCATCGAGCTTTCACTACCGATTCACACGATCTGTAGCAGAGCCGCTCGGCCAGTCTCGGACGCAAGGGTCCCACAGAAACTTCGAGCGAACGTTTTGACCCAAGCGGCGTTGCCTCAACAGCAGGACCCCCACACGCGCACAACGCGGCCAGATCCCAAGCCACACAAGAATCAACTGACAGAAGCTCCCAAGCGGTAGTTATCAAACCCAGCTAATGTACGTTCACTTGAGGAAACGCTGGCCGCTGTCTATACCTGGCATTCAACCCGTTCGTCTTGGCATTTGCTCCAGGAAATAGTCGGATGTGCGCCTAACGGCAGTCATACGCCTGGCACTAGCGTTGGCAGACACTGTACATGGTGTGGGCCCACCGGACAAGAATTGACGCGGCATCAAGCGAGATATCGAAAGTGCATAAAGCTGTCGATTGCCTCCCCTCATTCACTGCATCCTCCAGGCAAAGCCATTCACTACAATAGGCGGCTTCAGCGCGTCACAAACCACACCACTGAACGACATCATGGGTGAACAAGATTCGATCAAAAGCGCGCCTTATGAGCAGCGCGAGTCGATGCCTCCTTACTCCAGCAAGCAAGGAATGGTAACCAGGGAGCCCTATGGACCAGCAGGTATGCATTGTGAACTACCAGAGTTTGATTCATAAGTGGAATATACATGGAAACTAACTCCAACGATAGGCTTCCGTGGACTCTTCTCCAACCCATACGTTGCCATGTGTGCAGCTTTCGCTACGATCGGCGGTCTTCTCTTTGGATACGATCAAGGTGTTATTTCGGTGACCCTTGTCATGGATCAGTTCCTTGGCCGATTCCCACGTGTCTCGAGTGAAGCATCAGGAGCCGGCTTCTGGAAGGGGTTGATGACTGCTATGCTCGAGCTGGGCGCCTTGATTGGTGCTCTCTTTGCTGGTTGGATCGCAGACAAGCTATCCAGGAAGTACTCTATTGTCGTTGCAGTCATCATATTTACCATTGGAAGTATCTTGCAGACAGCAGCAATGGACTACGCGATGTTGGTAAGTTGTAACCACACGAACTAGATTTGAGACGTAGACTGACTTTCTGTAGACAGTTGGACGTTTGATCGGTGGGTGGGGAATCGGAGCGTAAGTTCAGCCATCTTTGTATAAGAGATGTATACTAATTACGTGTAGTCTTGCAACTATCGCTCCACTCTACATTTCCGAAATCGCACCTCCCGAGATTCGCGGTGCTCTCCTTGTTTTGCAGGAGTTCAGCATTGTTCTCGGCATCGTAATCGCTTTCTGGACAACCTATGGTACGCGCTTCATGGCCGGCGAGTGGTCATGGCGTCTTCCGTTTCTCATCCAGATGATTCCAGGCCTTGTTCTGGGTGTTGGCATTGTCTTCCTACCGTTCTCTCCACGATGGCTCGCTAGCAAAGGACGCGACGACGAGGCGCTAGTCGTACTAGGCAAGCTTCGTAAGCTCCCTACCGATGACCCGCGTATCTTTCAAGAATGGTGTGAGATCCGTGCTGAGGTCACTTTCAATCATGAAGTCAGCGTTCGGAGGCATCCCGAACTGCAGGCCAAAACCCGCAAGAATGAGTTTAAGCTTGAAGTGCAATCTTGGCTTGACTGCTTCAGGCATGGGTGTTGGAAGCGCACTGTCGTTGGAGTGGGCATCATGTTCTTTCAGCAATTTGTTGGTATGTACCCCATTAGTTCCAGCAAGGAAACAACTAACAATACTAGGCATCAACGCTCTCATCTACTACTCGCCCTCTCTCTTCGAAACACTAGGCCAGGACTACGAAATGCAGCTTCTGCTTTCTGGCATCATCAACTGCACGCAGCTCGTTGGTGTTGTAACAAGTCTGTGGACTATGGATCGCTTTGGACGCCGACCGTTGCTCCTTGTGGGTGCTGCTCTCATGTTCATCTGCCATCTCATCATCGCCGTCTTGGTCGGCAAGTTTGGTGGCCGATGGCTGGACTACGCAGTGGAAGGCTGGGTTGCTGTCGCCTTCCTATTCTTCTTCATGTTCAGCTTCGGAGCTACTTGGGGACCAGTCCCATGGGCTATGCCCTCAGAGATTTTCCCGTCTTCATTGAGGGCGAAGGGTGTCGCACTCTCAACGTGTTCGAACTGGTTCAACAACTTCATCATCGTAGGTCCACACTTCCTCTATGACTGATATAAGCCGCGACTGACACGTACCAGGGTCTTATAACTCCGCCTCTCATCCAAAACACTGGCTTCGGAGCCTACACCTTTTTCGCCGTCTTCTGTCTGCTCGCCTTCGTTTTCACATTTTTCGTTGTGCCGGAAACCTCTGGCAAAACACTTGAGGAAATGGACCAGGTGTTCAAGGATGTCAGCAGCGAGGCGGAAGAGCAACAAAAGGCTCGCATCATGCGCGATATTGTCGAAGGCAAGCAAAACGAGACCGTGACTGTAGTTCCCTAAGAGGGGTTGTAACGACAGCTTCGTTTCGTCTAGATTAAATGTCTCGAATGATGAACGAACAATTGATATGAATGAGTTTATGAACATCTTTGCACACATGCACGCAATGGTCAGCCTCGTGCCGCTAATTCTCCGTATTGACTCTGCGATCTATCGAGTTCTGTCAATCTATCATCGCGACCTAGGAATGCGGTATATGGCCTCGTCGCTTCCTTTTTATATCTAAAGTCTGGAGTTTTGTTAATCGTGGTAGGCGCACATATCGCACAATCGATCGAAAGATCGTGCGTTCGAGGTGTAGTCTCGTCATACACAACAGGCGGCTTCTCGTTGCGAAGCGCATGCTGTACGACAGGCACATAAGGCGTACATAGCATTCTTGTTTGCTACCATACTTACTCAATAAAAAAAAATGACATCTTGATACAAATACGTACTGTGTAACAATGACGACGTTGATGTTGCGGAGAACGGGAAACTGCAGCTTAGTTGTTCTTCGATAGTGTTGAAAGCCGGCAAGATGCATTGGTTGCAAGAGATTAAGATGGGTTGTATGCCTCTTGGTTAGCTCCAGAAGTGTATACAGAAATATGGCAAAGTAGATGGCCATAAATTGGGAGATTTGGTGTAAAGGGTTTGGCCCTTCTGGGAGAGCAATGTTACTCAGGATGAGAGGATGGGATTGGAGATACGATACAACGAAGCAGTTGTTGCGAGGTTTGCGCGTGTGATCCAGGGTCTTCAGATAAGCAGTCCCCGCGCCTGCCAGGGCGTTTTGACGAAGAGCTTGAAGCTTGGAAACAGCCTTTTTCTCGGAATATAGGCATCATACAGCACACCGATGCTCTGTAAAAGTAACTCATTCAAAATAAAGGCTTCGTTGCAAGAGCGGAACCTGACGAACATGGATATCCGGCTTGACTGAACACTTAGAGCGAATGCGCTCGCATTGCTCTTTTTACTAACCTTCCCTGCTGTATCTCGAGCTTCGAAACTCTCCATAACGTAAGCAGTCTTCTTTGGCAGAACTCCGCGAAACAAAAGGCAAAGCTGCCCTGATGGGTCTGCCCCAAAATTAAGCGCGGTACTGCCTCCCTTCACTTCCCGACCTTCCCGACCCCCTTACCACCTCAATATACAATCACATTCTTGTCCTGTCGTCATAGCCCGAGGTCTTCTATGCCAAATTCGACGCTACCAACTATCCTCACGGTTTTGGCGAGGCATCGTGGCTTCCCACCAGCAAACTTCTGCAGCCAAGTGGTGAGGTTTTCCCAATTCTCGCCCCGCACAACTCTCCCCAGTACAATGTCATGACCCGGCTGGCTCCAAGACCGTGATAACTCTGCAGAGAAGCGTACAGGTTGTCCAAGCACAGCTTCCAGCGCAAGGTGCGCATAACATACGGCCTCGTTTGCATCACCCGGTATGCCTATATCATCGAGCGGCTTCGTTATCACGCTCTCGGGGAGCTCCGCTTCGAGGTAATCTATGATATTCGCGTTGCGCGCGCTCGGCCCACTAATAAACAGTTCGTCGACGTTCTCACCGGCAGGAAAACTGAGCGCAAGGAGTCTGCGGTACTGCCTCAGAATATTCTCAGCCGTTATGCGTGTAACAGTAGCAACGATGTCTGCTTCAGAGAGTTCCAAGAAGACACACTCATCGACGAGTCTTTGTGCTTCGTGATCGCCGAACATTTCCCGGGCTACGCTGAGCGAAGGCAGGATGCGTGAGTAGTCGTATGTCTCAAGAAATTGTGTCACAACGCCTTCGTGAGGCTTCCCTGTCGTCGCAAATGTTCCGTTATTGTCTTCGTTTCGGTCGTTTGAGGTGCAATATTTCATGGCGTAGTCGATGAGTAGACTTCCGGGTCCGCAGTCGCGACAACATGTTTCTCGAGCGCTCTCGTCCGATAGAGGAGGGATGAAGCTGCAATTTATAAGCTCGCCAATATTCAGACTTGCGCGAAATTTAGACGCGTGTCTCAAGAAGAGTCTGTCAACGTAAGCGATAGGGGATATATGAGGCCTTACGAGACCGGCTTCAACGACTGTGAGATCAAAGACGGTATTGATGCCAGTCTCAGCGCTGACATTGGCGTTCCATCCTAGTGGATGCGTGTTCAAATCGTTGCTTTCGGGCACGCCAGGTCGTCTTAGACCTGACGCGTGTGTGCCGACCAGGTCAATGGACGCAAGCGGTATGTCGTGCTTTTCGCAGAAGCTCCTAATGCCGTTGGAAAACAGGTAACCGAGTAGCGCGTTGAGGCATGCCACTGGCGAGGATTCGTGTTCTGCTTCGTGGAGGCGGGTAAGGATATGGTTCCGAACAGCAGGCGATGTAGGCACCGAGCCGCTCTGTCGTTGATCAGCATTCAGAGAAGTATAGTGTCGACAGCACTAACTTGGACGAGCTCTAGGCGCAACGTAGCATCAGGTGAGGACTGACGGTACCGGACCAGCGCGAAATTGAGCTGGTTCAGCCCGCTTCCGCAACAGGCGCCCAGTACCCGGAGGTCCAATGCAGATTGGAAACTCATTGTCTCTCTCATATCAGTGTTCAGGCTGTCATAGTCTGTTACCGAGTCGTTGCGGTGCATGCTAGGCTTGAATGCTATTCGACCAAAGAACGCACTTTAATGCCCTAAGTCCGGAGGCGATAATCACTTGAGTCGTGGAGGTGGTACCTGTCCAGTGGCGTATAACTGAGCCTTCGCCAGAGGTGGTTCGGGCTATAGCCCCATACGGCACGTTGCATAAGAAGATGCATGCTGAAGGTAAGCTGTGGGGGTGGGGGGAGATAGCTAAGAACGCTATGCAAGACCCAACAAACCCTGTGAGGTCTCGCTGTACTGAGAGTCATGTGACGTGACTTGCACTTCGTTACGACTTACGCGAAAGGGGGCAGTGGACCGGAACAAACTCCCGGCTGTCAAAAGTGACGTAGCTGCTCGACAGTAGTTCCTATGAAAATTCATCAGTACGTCCGCAATTGGAGAATACACAGGAGACTACACAAGGAGAGCGCATCAGCGGTACTTTCTCCTGGCGGTTGGCAACGGATTGAGTGCGTGCGGGGACGTGGCATTGGGAAATAAACGTATCTACTGCGGTCGTGGCACCCAGAAAGCCTCCGAGGTCAAGCAATGAGCAGACGGTCTGTCGTACATTGGTACTTCTCTCTGGGGACACAGAGAAGGTCAGAATGATGTTGGAAAAAACTTCGTTGCTTCAGTATTGCGCGCCTCACCAACGGTTCTGGTGGTGAAACTGATATTAGTAGCGAGCTTCTTGTGTCTTCAAGCTCAACCATATGAAAATAAGATCTGATATATGTTGCATTGCGTAAAGAGCTTTCGATCAGACTTCAGCAAGTGTCTCGACATACAGCAGATGTCAGCACCATTGGAATCATCACGAACGGAGAAACTAGATATGCTCATGGCTATGAAATGGAACAACCACATCATACAGGGCTTACAAACTACGTGGTTGACAAGACTACCACTCCTACAGTCACCAGTCACGGCTACACGCGTACAGCTCAGACCACTCTCGGTCTATTTGACCGAAAACCGGAGCAGACCTAGGAGCTTGCGTTTTGTCAAGATGCCAAGCTATCTGGATTCAATATGCACATAAGGACTATATATCGTATCGAGTAGACAGTTGGGTCACATAACATGCATAACTGCAGACTAAGCGGACATGAGCACACCAGAACATTCGGTTCTTCTTACAATATACAATAGCCCTTCGAATGGGAAGAGGCTCTAGCCTTGGTGTTGCATGATACACTCGGAACAATTACCCGAACACTTGGGTCGCGAGATGTGGAGCATATCAAAACACGAGTTTAGTCTGACAACTGACATGTCTGGAGCTATAGCCACATCCTTGATGTCGTAAAAGGGAATGAGATACCCGTATTGAGCTTAACAAGAAAGGGGAATGGATATATGGATCTGGTCACAGTAGTGAGCGGCTACTTTTGTTAATGGTATGTTTATGGTACAAAGCACGATGATACTGGCTGCCAGAAACTGGAGCACCTCACTCCTTACGTCGGGTATCTTGCATAGTCTCCAGCACCTGCTTTGATGGTTGCTTTTGGGTGAGGTTATGGATCACCATCAAGGGTGGACTTTACTTGGTACTAGCGACTGCCTTAACCGCAGTATCTACGGGCAAATGGTCAATGACGACTCAAGACCGAGCTCCACGGTGTTAAGCTGGAGAGGTGGACGAGCCAGGGATACCCCATTCAGCTTTCAACGCGTTGCTGATCCAGGTTGTCGGCCACACATGGTTTTTCTCGAAGTCCTTCAGGAGCTGTACTACCTGGTCTCTTTCTTTCGGGTCGCATACAAGAGGTCCCCATATGAAGATGGTATGGCAGACGGTAATCGCCAGCGGGACAGTTTCCGGCGAACTATTACAGGCTCCGCAAATGGCGCGTGCATGCGATAAGATTTCATGCTGTTTGGGTGAGTAAATAGATGTTCTTCTTGGTGGCTGGGGTCCTTACATCCGTTTCAGAAAGGCTCCCAACATTGCGGATTGCAAACTTCGGGCCTGGCTTGTAACGCAACAGCATAATGCAGGCAAAGTGGTAGAATCCGAATGACACAGCTGATAAGTTTGTGAGCATCAGCGCAAGAATGGACCTCGGGATGGATACAGAACTTACTGTGCCAGTCGGCAGTGAATAGCATCTCAGGAAACGGGCCCTGGTCGCCGGCTGGACCTTCAAAGATCGCATTAAAACCGTCGGGTCTGTCACGTATCCACGTTTGGACAAGGTCCCATAGCTCTTTCCATCGTCGCATCTTGTAAGTTTTCTCGTTCTGTGGTTCCTTGCCATCGAAGCAGAAATTTACAACACATGCAAGATTCCATGTCATTTGGTTCGCCCAAGCGGTCTCCAATCTTAATCGTGCCAGCGGGTGTGCATCTCGTAGGGAGCTTGGGGTTGGGTGCAACCGTAATGAGAAGTCGATATCAGGTGGCTGCTGGTTGATGGTGGCATTGTAGAGGCACTGGCGTACGTAAACCCAAAAAGCAGCTTCGCGCAATGTAGGTGCTGATGGATCTACGTAGTGGTTTCCTTGGGATGATCGAATAATGGCTGAGCAGCCTGCGAGATGCTGTTCATCATCAGAACCAGTGCTGGACGGCACTAGAGGTACATATTAGGCAGGAAAAGCACAAAGGATATAGCAGCACCTACCGTTCAGCTGCTCATAGAAGCGCAGTATGACGATAGCACACAAAAGAGTTTCATCGTGGCTAGCCGCTTGCTCGTTCAATCGTTCGATGAGCAGGGCAATGCAGCGCTGGTAGGCTGCTTCAGCTGTTGCGTCCTTTCTGCAGTGGCGAGCCGCAAAGGACATGACAGCGTGGCAAAGCACCGGGCATTGTTTGACTTTCTCCGGCACGCCCAGTGTAAACTGACGTGTGGCGTCTGTGCAGTCTAGCCAACGACCAAGATGTTCGGTATAGTGATGCACCAGCAGGGCTTCTTCATGTGTCAAAGAAACATGCTGAAGTGAATAGTTTCTCGTCCCCTCTGGCATATCCCTTCGGTTATGCGAGTGCGAATGTGCCTGCTGCATTGCCTGACGGGTATGCATCGGCAGCGAGCCCTCTGACATGCCGTCCGGGTCGGGCGACTGCAGCAGACTCGCCACCGACACACCACCCGGTGTAATCTTGGACCTGGGAACAAAGTATGGTGAGCCTGGGGATAAGTGAGCCGACGGTGAGGAAACGCTGGTAGATTGGCCCTCCGATACTCCGTCGGTCCGACTGTTTTTCCGTCGTCTCGGTGAAGTGTTCCGGCTGAAGCTCTCCTCGCTGAAACTGTTTGTGCGAACGGCTTCATCTCCTCTACCAATGCCATCGACTCCTTCGACACCGTCAACTTCCATCATGTCACTCTTACTCTCGGTTTCGTCATCGGTGCCACCAGCAGCAGATCGACTTGATGAGGGTCCATCAGGCCGGTAATCCTTGAACTTGGTATGTGGCTCTTCCCACTGGCAAGGACGGTTTTTCTTGCCGCAGGCTTTGCATACTGGACGGGTTTCGTCGCCTGCGTGCAGGATCAGTATGGGAAGGAGCGCTCTGCAACAGAACACTCACACTTAACGCGGCGCGCTCGACAGGTAAGGCTTATGCAGATCAGCGGAATTTGTCGCCGCAACCTCATGGATCCACTTACCAGCCGTTCCTAGAGCGGAATTTACTGTATAAAGTCAGTAATATGTTTTTACATGTTGGGTGGGTACCGGAGATTACCCCATATATAGGAATTCGAATCTAACGTTCGAATCGAAATGTACCTGTCGTCGTATTAGCTGGTGCCCTGGTTTGTGCCCTGTGCCTCACGATAGCGCTCGCCATGAGTTGACAGGCTAGCCAGCATTGGAAGTGCGTACCAAAACTATGCAATCCGTTAACCTATCCTCTTGGGAACTCTTCTGACGACTTCTTGGATTTGCGCGTTGACTTTACCGAAGCAGTGGCATCTGTAGGATCTTGTCGGCAATGTTCGATAGGAACTGAGAACGATCAAGCAAGGCACGTCACACGTGGAAGCGAGGCAGGTGCGAGCTAGATATGCTATGGGGCAAAAGGCTGGCCAGCTCTAACGTAGTCTCGATAACATTAGTCATTTGCCAATTCGCCAGGACATATGCCTTGTTCTCTGACGCGGTGAAAAAGGAGTTGAGCCTATAACTCACCTCTTGAGAACGCTCGATGCCCGGTATGTCTGTGGTGTTGGCTAGATTGAGGTGCAACGTCACTCTGTTCCCTTAGACTAGACTGTGTGCTGAACATACGGTATTCATGCAGAGCCTATGCTCATCCCTATCAATGCTGTCAGGTGCGGCCGATCTTCGATACTGCCGTCAGTCCGCTCGATGTTGGTGACCCTTGCTTGGTGAAGGTTGAAGAGCGGGACAAGATCCCGCAGCCAGTCACAGGCAGCAAAAGAGGGACGCTCGGATCCCAAATGCTCTTTAGATGCTTAGGTAAGTAGCTGTAGGTTGCTAGTAGCTTGCTATGCACCAGCTGTCTAGATTGCCTGCTAAACTGCTGAACAGGAGCGCGTTTGCCCAGATGTTCTGAGGTTCAATTCAGTTCTCCTAATCTGTCGGTCAAATGTTTCGCCAAACGGCCGCCAAAATGCTTCTAATCCAAAAACACTGATTCGTATCGAGGTCCCAGCAGGTCGTAAAGCGACCTTTAAGATGGCCTCACACAAGTGGACTATCCATATCACACAAGTGGTGTACTTGAAATGAGTTCAGAAACGTCCAATGTGCAGGGATAGATTGTCTCTGCATTGGAGAGGTTGATCTGCTTCTCTCGATTTTGTCGCCAAGAGTTGCTCTGATCAGCAAAGTCCGGATCTCGTCTCGAATTTGGGAGTTAGAACTTCGCACCCTCACCAGGCGACAGTTGTTTACGCGTTTGCGGTTCCGTCGTCCACGAATGCGCTCATGAGCACCCTTACCACGCGAATTCATCCTAGCCGAGACTATCCACACCTCCAGCCCGCTGGCCTCCCTAGCCGTACCTACGAACACCGAAAGTCACACGCCGTCACCGCCGCTGAGATTCCGAGAGAAAACAACCAGATCCGCGTAGAGAGGGTCGCCCTGGAACACTTCTGAACGCAGTGAGAGCGTGCGATTTCCCAGCAGCATCCTCAAGCGTAGACCCTGCAGACTAGGACTAGGTGCATTCTCCTGTGCTGAACCTGTCCGAAGCGCGGGTGCATCGCTTTTCAGAGACGCAGAACTGTTGAGCACTCAAGATCGCCTTCTAAGATCTGTGTATTTACTTTGTATCTAGACCTTTCTGAGCCGCAACAAACAGAGCCTGGGAGCCAAGACACTCATAGAGATATCATTTCCACACGAAGCATGAAGTGGAACATCTGCTGTTGCAACGCCGTGTGGCCAGCTTGGGGACCTGTCGAATTTACCCAATGTTGTATCCCACCGAGTTCTTACTAGGCATACGTATAGCCCGCGAGTTTTGATAGTGCGATCCCTACGCGTGTTGCTTCTCGAATTAGTTACAACAATATTCATAAAAGCTTTAGGATTTTGTAGTCAGAATTACCGTCGCCAGTTATCAGAAAGCAATATACATGCCCTACGACACAGCTAACCTACGTCTTGAGGGTGGCTTATCTCGGTTACATGAATTCATGAAATCCGGTTTGCGTACGATACCACAATGGACTGGCAGCATTAATGTTCAATCTATACCACGAATTCGGGTTTAAAGGTGTGCTTCGTAACATAAAAGGTATTAGCATACAATACAATAAGGCACATTATGCAAGAGTCATACTGGTAGGCTTCGTCGGCTATTATCTTCGGACATAGAATTATTCATGACCGGACCATGATCCGTGACGTGACCTATGAATGGCGGCAACTCCACGCCAACGGTCTCGTACCGACACGTTTGGCCGAGACGAACACAAGAAGGCAAACCCAGGATCTCTCTGGAAAAGCGTTTCTGTGAGCCAAAGTCAAGATCAACGCAAAAAACTACCTGCGTCACTGGCTGACTCAAGAATTTAAAAATGGCCATATGATACTAGAGATTTGGAGCGAGCTGCACGTCGAAGCAAGGCTTCATGCAGCGCATCGATCACACGGCAGTCGACAATACACGGGTGCGGTGGGATCGGATTGTCTCTGCAAGATCGGGTTTAGCGAAACCGCATGGACCATGATGGCATTTCTGAGCTACCAACTGGACAGCCCTACACGATCGACAGATACGCGAACGTTATATCCGTAAGGGTCTCAAGATACCTGGCATGCGACAGACCAAGATAAATAAATGGGAGCGAGATTGGTCCAGCGAAAGCGCGCTCCGCGGAACAGTCGGTCCTACCACTGCCTCGCGCTAAGTGCTACCCTGTGGCTTACCAGTGGGGATTCCTTCCTGGGCCTATTGTCACAAGGATCCAGAGTGTCGGACCAGCTCAAGTAGGTATGGTTGATCATAGCCTAAATGTAAATTCAACGTCAGTCCATCAAAACCACAGAAGGGTACAGCTGCTCAGGAGCGGATGTACTTGAGTAAATGAGATATGGATGCTATGACACTTGGTGATTCATGAAGATAGGCCTGCAAAGCTTAAAGTGTGCACTTTTGCGCCTCAGACGAGTTTTTTCGCGTCGGTTTGTATGCATTTCTCCTTTGTACAGGCACCAACATGTGTGATATAAGCATGAAAACACGGTCGCCATGCGATTTTAATCCGCGATTGTAAGTCAGACTATACTGTTCCCGTACAGATCGCTGTCTGCACCAGTGTCATGGTCGAGACTTCCAAGGACCAGCCAGTGTGCATGTGATCACTTGATCGCCAATAAAAGCCAACAACGGAAGTTTAGTACCGTCGGCACCCACGCAACTTCCATATCTACGTCGCAGCGTTGTGGAGCTATTCAATGACAACATTCAACATCAATGAAGCACTATGCATCCAAAGCATACCTCCTGTGCAAGAGCTCTTGTGAGCTCTCGACGGTTCTTATGATGATGATGCTTCGATCGGATGGTAACAAAGTGCAAAGGATGTTGCCACCGATTATACTCTGCCTATCATGTACGTATGTCCTGTCCAACGTCTTCCTATCCATATCATTTTCTTTATATTCCATTTTTACTTTCACTTCTGCCTTTCGACTTTCGCGTGCCACCTCGAGGGAGTATTTTCTTGCGCGCCGTATTAGACCGCCGTTCGCGTATGAAACCGGGTGCAAACACGCTCCTGCTTCCGCCAGACTCTCACCTCCTCCCTCATCAGGTACACTCCGTTTGCTTTGATCCGCTCCGGCCCGTACTTGCTCTTATTACCTTCGACTTCTATCTTCTTTGTTCACCCACCCCGCCCTCCCTTGACGCACACAAAGCAGCCGCGACACAACCATCAAGATGACTCCGCCCCAGCTCTTCAAGATTCTCGCGCTCTTCCTGCTGGCCGTTTTAACCACGGCTTCACCCATTGCAATTCCCACTACTGGGGGTGTCTCGGTCCCGACCACTATCCCTAGCGACGTCTCAATCGCTATCCCAGCCAGTACTTCGGACGATGTCCCCAACGACGTGTCAACTGAGGTCAACTGCTATCGCTGTGTATACATCAACCTGTTCTGTAAGGAAATTGGCCTCACTGAGGACCAATGCTTCCAATTGCGATGCAAAGATCCCGACGTAAGTTCATTCATTTAACGATGTACCACCCTTGTGTGTGGGTTTTGAACCTAGAGTATACCGGAACATGAACTGACAATCCCGCAGTGCTATCGATGTCGTAGTAGTTGCCGCGCTAACCAGCAACTCAATGGCTCCGACTCTGCTACTGCCGGCAATGTCGTTGCCGAGAGCTCTTCGACTTCTATGGCTCCAGTAACGAAGCGCGAGGAAGCAAAGCGGTGCTTCTGGGTCTGTATTCATACATACTGCACGCGCCAGTGTATCGGCGACGACGCCGTTGCAGCTCTCAGGGCCAATAGCGCGCTCGTCATCGACGAAGCCGATATGAAAACCGACACCACTATCTCCGTCTCTTCGAGCCATGCGCAACTAAAGAACCATTTCCTCTACCATTGTGACTGGACCTCTGGTATATGCTGGACTGACCCTGTTCTTCAAGCTGTAGCTGGGAGCGAAATCAGCATCGAGGAAATTCCGGACATCCCAACCAAGGTCTGTCGCGAGGTGTGTAGTACGGACGAATCGCTCTGCGGCATGGTCTGTGATGCCGATGAGAATGAAGATAAGAACATCGACTTTGGGAAGGCTGACTTTGCTAACCGCGGGCTCAAGTGCCACTGGGAATGCATGTTTGGCCAGTGTTGGGCTGTCTGTCTTCCGACAACGGCTGTCGGCTCCGCCGATGCCGATGCCGATGCCGATGCCAATGCCGTTATGGGATTGTCCTCTCTCAAATACCGCTGGGAGTGCTACTTCGGCCAGTGCTATGCACGCTGCGTTCCATCAGCCAAAGGAGAGGGGGCCCAGAAGCGCGGTACATTACCTCCACCCTGTCATGAACGTTGTGACGACGACAAGTGCTGGATTGTCTCTCCCCGTCCACCGATAGAGTAGGATAACGTTTGTGGTAAGATATCCAGTGCATAACCATTCTACGGTCTCTAGCTAAGTTTTGCTAGTATGTCCATTCTAAGAAGTGTTCAAGTACGACTATCAGCGGAACGAGAGCTGATGAAAGCTCAGAAATGCAGTTACGTAGGACAAAGTGTCTGGGGAATCTGGAGGCCTTGTACCAGTAATGTGGAGGTACAGATTAAAGCTTCTTATAATAGTAATGAAATTCGGGTGATTACTTTATGAAGTCAATGCTACCCGTCATGGTGGTGTACAATATGCCCATTCGTCGCTTCTTGACGCCTGATGGTATCCAAGGTTAATCGTCTGCACTCTTTCCCATATGATACAAGTTTTGCTACAGCAGAGATGCGCTCGTTTCCATGCTCTGTTCTGCGCCCCATTTTCTTCCGTGAAACATCTCTCTCCCTGGGGAGTTTACATGCCCCGGGCTTTCAAGAATTCTGCAATCTCGCTAGTATGATGGCCCTTGACAACAACATGTTGTGTTACGCTGTTGATCTTGACGTCCTCGTTCTTCTTGTTCAAGAAGACTCTCAGCTCATCCCTCAGCGCTGATACGTCTCCTGTGATCTTGCGTACCATGGTCAAGTGCAAGTTGCCTCCTCGCTTGTAGTCGGTGTAGATGGGCAGATTCTTGTTGACTGATCTCGAGACTGCGTACTTGGGCGGTGGCAGAGACAGTTTCAGTGCTTGTGACGATGTCTTTGGCTTCTTGCTGTTTCTTGGCTTGTTGTCGGCTCGTGGATGCTTGGAGGGCAGTACGGGCTTCTGTTGGGGCGGCTGCGCGCTGTCGCCTTCGGTCAGAGACTCTGCGGCAGCAAGGTCGGCGGCTCGCTGGGCTTCCTGGGGCGTGGATGGGTGTTCGGAAGAGGCCGTGTAGAGGCGGAAGTGCTGTCGGCATGCGACTGCTCTTGGGGCAGCCAATGGCCGCAGCAGCGGCACCAGAGATTGGAATCGGGGCATGCTGTTCCAGCAAGGAGCAGTTCAAGCACAGCGACAGCGAAGACGAAGCGAATAGCCTGGTTGTGACGTGCAGGCTGCTGCCATGGCTCGCGGCTCAACACCACAAGTTTAGCGTACAGGGTACCTCGCTTGCGCACAGTCGCGGGTTTTTTCACCCCGCCACGGCCGACATAACGAATTTCGCGCCTCGCCCGCTCCACCAACCTCACCCACCACGTTGCACCCACACACCTGCGACATCCACCCAACATGGCCGACTCAGCGGCAAATGGCGCCAACGTCGCCGAACAGTACTCGCTCCTCCCCAAGCTTATGCCCAACCTCGACCGTCATCTCGTCTACCCGCTCCTCAACTTCTCCAGCGATGAAGAAGCCGACCAGACCGTCGAGCAGAAGAAGCTCCTCCTCGAACTCCTCAAGCCCACCAACATGACGGATTTCGTCGGACAGCTGCACCAGGAAGTCCACGGCCTCGACGACATGTCCGACGAGTTCAAGACCAAGCGCGACGAGGTCCTGAAGAAGCGCGACCAGCTCGACGAGGCGACCAGCAAGATCAGCGGCCTGCTCGATGACGAGAACGTCGTCACAAACCTGAGGAGCGACAAGCAGCAAAACTTGGCATACCTGAAGGAGAGCCATGGTGTTGACATGGACATGGTCAACCAGTTGCTCGAGTTTGGCCAGTTCCAGTACTCGTGCGGTGTATACCCCCACGCCGCTGAGCTGCTCTACCGATTCAGGGTTCTGGTACGTCTGCCCAACGCGCGCTTGTAGTTGGTTTGCTTACTGACTCCGTCTCATTACAGACCACAGACGGCGACAAGGAGCGCGAAGCCACCTGGGGCAAGCTCGCCTGCGAAATCCTCTCCGTAAACTGGGACTCGGCCATGGAGGAGATCAACAAGCTCAAGGAGATCATCGACACACGCCTCTTCAACAACCCTCTCGCACAGCTGCAGCACCGCACCTGGTTGATCCACTGGTCGCTCTTCCCCCTCTTCAACCACGAAGCTTCGCGCGAAACCCTCACCGACATGTTCTTTTCCCCCGCATACATCAACACCATCCAGACAAACTGCCCCTGGATTCTGCGTTACCTCTCTGCTGCCGTAATTACCGGCCGCAACCGTGGTCGCAACTCGAACCAGTACCAGAAGCAGCTCAAGGATTTGATCAGGATCGTACGACAGGAGGGTTATGAATATAGTGACCCCGTCACCGACTTCATCAAGGCCCTGTACATCGACTTTGACTTCGAGGAGGCGCAGAAGAAACTCAGCGAGACTGAGGAGATTCTGAAGAACGATTTCTTCTTGTTGGGTGCGGCGGAACAGTTCGTAGATGCGGCGAGACATCTCATCTCAGAGAGCTACTGCAAGATCCACCAGAGGATCGATATCAAGTGAGTATTGTCCATTTCTCCGCCCTTGGCATTACACTAATACATGATTAGGGACCTCTCAACTCGTCTCGGTCTTTCACAAGACGAGGGTGAGAAGTGGATTGTCAACCTTATCCGGGACACTCGTGTAGATGCAAAGATCGATTACCAGGCCGGCACGGTCGTCATGAACCACCCACCACAGTCCGTCTACCAGCAAGTCATCGAGAGGACAAAGGGAGGCTTCTTCAGGACACAGGTTCTTAGCGCGGCTGTTGCGAAATGAGCGTGACGCATGTTGTGTCCAATGCATTTGTGTTTTTACAACGGGAGGGAGAGCCAACAGCTTCTGGGGAGGTTACAATCGGGGAGATGATGACGATCATGAAAGGGATGAAGGAATGATCGAAAAGTATGGGTTCGGCATTTGGGGTTTTACGAATTGGGCGTGGCAAAGACTTGCGCAATGCATGCATGGGTATGGGCGTCCTGTTATGGCTCTTGTAGAGCCATCTGTATTCCTGGGCAACAGCACATGAAGCGCTGTATCGGTAGTGGACAACAAGTAGTATCCAAGAATTCACATGGACGATGAAACAACACTACAACTGTATTTTCCCGTTCCTTGTTATCATACAGTACAAGTCTATTCTAAATAACCCCATTTTCAGATCCTCCCAATCTGTTCAGCCCATGCCTCCAGCTCAAGCATAGTATCTGGGCTCATTGAAGACGTGATACCTATGTCCCCTGACACCATGTCCCTTGAACAGTTCCGGGAATCTCAAGCCAGCAGGAACCTGCGATTCATGTACAAGCTCGTTTCCATTCTCCGGCTCGCCGACGACGAATTTGCCCACCTGCATCAACATCATTAGCACCACATCGTTCTGGTACGACAGACGGGAAGAGAGGGATTGACTTACCTGCAACTCGGTATCCGTAATGGTATGCCTGGAAACACGCGCATACCCACTTCTTTTCAACCCCTTGAAGAGAATGTATTCGCACCACCTATCCCAGTCTGACGGATCGATATCCTTCATTCCACTCTTCTCACCCACATAAGTATTGTAGTTGCCCTCGCCAGGTTTGATGACCAAGTACGACAAGAGGATGGCAGGGCGAGGCGTAGCCTTCATGCGTTCGGCTAGATATTCTGACTGCAAGCGGCGATCCTCGGGGTCCTCTTCCTGGCCCGAGTGGAAGACGAAAATATCGACCATCTCGCCGTAGGCGTCGATTGTGGCTTCGATGGCAGGAGCGAGTTCGCCAACGGGCGACGGGAGGAGATGGTGTGTGGAGTTTACAATTGGGAACTTGGAGAGGAGCGCTGAGCCCCATGTATGCTTGTTCGGGCCCGGACCAAAATCGACATACATGCCTAGGTCTTCGGCAAGGAACTGTGTTGTATCACGGTTGCCCATGATGATGCGTTGGAGATCGCTTTCTAGGAGACCTATGACATCGACTTCCATTTCTTTGATCAGGTCACGCATGCGGTATTCAGAAGACCACATGTCGTTATCAAGGGAGAAGTGTATCGTCCAGATACCAGCAGTGATGGACTTGGTTTCTGGGTGGTAGGGCGTGTAGTCGTATGACGGGAAGCGTAGGTAGGCAGTAGCGATGGCAATCAGCTCCAGAGCACCGAGAACGTACAAGTAGTAGGACCGCTGTCTACCGGCGGCTGCAGTAATGACAGCTTTGCCCTTGTAGTTTTTAAGTGCAGGCGGTTGCGCAGAGACACTGAAGATGCCGGCACCAATTTGGAGCATCATAGCTGTCATGACCCAGTCTGTATGTTCGCGGACGAGCGGGCCACCAGGAACGAACGCGTAGGCTACAACCCAGACGTGGAAGAGAACCATGAAGTTGTACACCAAGAATCCGAGTCCGAACGTCCGGCCTGGAGAGTGGCGCGCCGCGTGGGCAATCAGGATAGGTGCTGCTGCCATGGTGTACATAGCAAGAACAAGGGCGCCATAGAACCCAGACCAGTGACTAGTGGTAGTTAGAACGGCAGCGCCAATTGAACCTACGCCGTAGAAGGCCCACGATCTTGACAGGTTTGGCGCGAACAACCCAATCGTAAGACCCAATCCCATAGCTAACAAAGTCAAAGTGCCATGGGGAACAGCCAGGGGACCCCGAACGGGGTAGCCTTCCCATACCCAAGAGATCATCGTACTCGAGTCGGAGAGCAGCGAGTGCATGGCGAACATGACTCCTGCCAAACCGAAGCTCGCAAAGATGGACGACCCTTTAGTAGGGCCCTGAGCTGGCACATCAGCACCAGAGCTGGCGGTAGATCTGGTCGATATAAGCATCGATACGAAGGCAACTACAAGACCGGTCCTGTTCCATCCGCCGTTCGCCTCATGCATAATTGGCCAGATTGGGTTGTTTGTCCAAAAAGCAAACTTGGCAATACTAGAAGCTATTAGACCGATAGCAAAAGCAGAGATGCGTGCTTCGAGGCGATGTGGTTGGGACCGTTCGGCGAAGAAAGTAGCAGACCATGCGAGGCACGACATGGATAGACCAAAGCCAACAGCGAAGAGTCGGTTGACAGGCGTCTTTGCGAGAAAGGCAAGAAGCCCAGAGAGTGAGAGCAAATGGAAGAACCAGACGTAGCGAGTGGCAAGGTAGCGTATGGGCTTGATGCCAAGGAAGAAGGGAGTGATGGTGCACATGACCAAGGCCTCATAACCAGAGATACCCATGTGCCAAAGCGGGAAGTCTACAGGTCATCAACAAAGACATTACAATCATGAAGCTGGAGTTGAACTTACACCAGACGCAGACGCCAAGGGAAGTCAGCATGGACCAGAAGACAAACTGTGAACCAGTCAGTTGCGTCTAGTAGCATCTTGACATGTCACTTACTCCATTGTACACATCTGCCGCAGCATAAATGAGTCCGGACCAGGCAAAGGCACCTGAGAAGGTCGCGCTCATTTCCTTGTTTTTTCTGGAAACGTCAGTAACGCTTCGCATTCCGAAAGCAAATGACAGCTTACTCTTGGATGCTGTCTGATGTAGATTTGGAGCCCGCACTACAAGAGGTATATTGTCAGAAGGTGATCGTAAGAAGTATACATTCTTGATGAGTGTCTATCTATATTGGGAGACGAGGAACGTACAGGCGGGAAACACCTCGAACATCCTTGACGACAATCTCCAAATGTTGGAATTCGATCATGGTGACAGCATCAAAGCCTACGTCGAGCAGAACCAGTGCCCATTCGAAGAAAGCGTAAATAGTGTAGGCTAGAAACATATTAACAAGGAATTGACAGTACAGTGAGATGACATACCTCCGGCAACACGATGTACCTTGTGTTGAATGAAAAAGTATATCAACGGCACAAGAGTTCCGAAAAAGCTGCCAGCGAGGACTTTTCGGTACTTGAGAGCAGTGGGGTTCTTGGGGCTGAGAGCAACACAGCCCAAGGTCCAAGGAAGGGTCGCGACAAGGTATGAGATCATGAAAATGTCGTGCCAGTCGTGGTCGTCTGTAGAGGTCACATATGTCCACCCCCCGCATGTCAAGGTCCGAAAGATACCAACGCCAGCGATGAACTTGGGGAGGGACGAGTTAGGACGGCGGGTCAAGATGTACCAAAGGCCAACGAGCGCAAACCGAGGGCCTACACATGTCAGTATAGTCGTCCATGTGTCGGGTCTTGTTCCATACCGGACGTGAGGGCGATGAAGAGCATAAACACCGAACGCTCTGGGTAGCGGTCGCCGATAGTCGCGGACACGGATGGGAACCATTCATCTGGGTAGCCCTGGGTATGTTGTCAGTATAGTTGAAGCCTGACATGCAGCATGCAACTAACGTAGAACTCGTTCTGTACGATCTTGTGGTAGTGTAGCCATCTATGGATGTTCAGTCGCGTCGTGGGGTAGCAGAGAGTCAAGTGCGTACATTCCAACTACGAGGGCGCCGACAAAGGCACCTGTACTTGTCGTCAGTACAGCCAATCACAGGAGTCTTGCATGGACATACAGTAGGCCATGGCGGTATGCGAATATGATATCCATTTTCCATTGAACTACGTCTTGTGAGCATGCGGAGCTCTCGGGGGTGAGGTCTGCCCGCGCGTACCGTAGCGACGGTGTCGCCGTCCTTGTCTTTGACCATTGTAAAAGATGCAGGTAGCCTCTCAGCGACGCTCGAGCATTGGAAGAGAAGAAAGAAGCAAAAGAGCGTCGTGAATTGATGATTCGCAGTCGTCAGACACGCGAGCCTCCTGAAGTTGTCATGGCCAGGGTTCGCGCTTCCGAGGTCCGCAGCCAAGGCGCTATCGGCGGGAGCAGCGTTAGCCTAACTTTTTTCTAAGGCACGGTCAACTTTTCTGATCTCAACTTTGCCAGCAACACTGGACACGCGCAAACATGGCCGGACCGAGTGACAAGGCGCGTTTCTACCTCGAGCAGTCGGCGACGGAGCTGAACGAGCTTGAGCGCAAGAAAATCTTCTCACGGGTAAGATGCGCACATCTTCGCGCTACGCCATGTCTTCTAACAACATGTAGGAAGAGATCGGCTCCATAGCGAAGAAACGTTCCGACTTCGAACACATCATCAATGCCAGAGGCTCGCACCCTGAGGACTACATGCGATACATCGAATTCGAAAAGAGTGTCGATGCTCTGCGCCGCAAACGAGTAAAGCGACTTGGTGTACGGTACAAGGGCTCTGGTCAGCGGGCAATCTACTTTCTCTACAATCGGGCAACGCGCAAGTTTCCGGGCGACCTGGTGCTATGGATGCAATACATCGACTTTGCGCGCAAGGACAAGGCATACAAGAGACTGAACGACATCTTCACCTCGGTCGCTCGACTCCACCCTACCAAGCCTGACATATGGATCCTTGCGGCGAATTACTTCATGGATACACAGGCGGACATTACCAATGCGCGGAGCTATATGCAGCGAGGGCTGCGCTTCTGCAAGAACTCCGAGGTCATGTGGCTGGAATACGCGAAGCTCGAGACTATCTACGTTGGCAAGATCGCTGGTCGGAGGAAGATTCTCGGTTTGGACATCGATCGCACAAGCAAGTCGCGCACAGATGAGGACGGGGACGAAGACATGATTGCGCTCCCCGAGGTGACCGCCGAGGATGTGAATCCCAGCTTGAAGCAGGCTGATGGTGTGGATGAGGTAGCTCTGCAGAACTTGGCCTCTGCACCAGTACTCACTGGCGCTATCCCACTGGCAGTCTTCGATTCCGCCATGAAGCAGTTCCAGGGCAAGGCTAAACTCGCCGACAGCTTCTTCGACATGTTTGCCGAGTTTAGTCAGCTAGCCTGCATACCACGCATCTTGCAGCACGTGCTAGATTACCTGCAAGATAACTCTCCACAAGCCGTGGAGACCGCTATCTGCAGGTTCCGCATGATGCTCTTTGGCTGCGATCCTACCGACCCAGAGATCGCCCCTGCATTAAGCAGGGCCTTGGATTTGATAAGCTCCGCCATTCAGCAACATCCTACGGAAACTGTCAGGGTTTCCGAAGTCGCTGTTCGGCGGCTGTTATCTCTGCACCGGTTACTTGCGGATAGCGATTCGTCGTTACAGAAGGCATCGCGAGCAGCACTACGCAAGTATGTACGGGCCATGG